GAATAAAACATTAAAAATTTTTTTAATTTTTAAAAAAGAAATAAAAAAGGCAATCCAAAGGTCGTGGCAAAATAAAAGACCAACACTGTTATGGTAGGCATTTCAAACACTTAAAAATCAAAACTTACCATTCGGTTCTGTCTTCCTTCTTGGCTCGGACTTTGGAAATAGAATCTAACTGAAGGTATTTCCAGCATCCCTGTTGCCAGTAAGAAGGCTGATGTGTCTAATTCAGTCCTTTGTAACTTTATTTCATTCAAGAAACAGAATTTTTTTTTTTTTTTTTGCTGTTTTGAAGTTTAAACTTGCCATGTCTAGATACATTTCTTTGTTACTCAGAACTAGTTGGGTGCTTTTAACCTTTCCTTAAAGCTGGGAACTTCCGCTATGTTTTTATTTCCTCCCTTCCCTTCTCTTACTTTTCCTTCTAGAACTCCTATTAGGCAAATACTAGGTTTCCTGGATGTTTCTTCCATATTTCGTAATATATCTCTGATTTGTTCCATCCTACCTTCTTTTCAGCCCATCTACTTTCTTATTTAAACTAAAAATGTTTTAAATGTCTATTTTGAGAGAGAAGGAGAGAGCGGACCCCAAGCAGGCTCCACGCTGTCAATGCAGAGCCCAACACAGGGCTCGATCTAATGAACTGTGAGATCATTACCTGAGCAGAAATCAGGAGTCAGATGCTTAACCCACTGAGCCACACAGGTGCCCCGCCACCAAATTTTAACTTTATTTTTCATTTCAAAATTCCAGAAAAGTTGGGAAAATAGTATGAAGGATGCCATTTACCCTCCACCCAGATTCATAAACTATTATTACATTTTGCTACAATTGCCTTGTCAGTCTGTGTGCGTACAAGCATTATAAACACTCATCTTGGAATGTCTGTGCACGCATACATACATACACATACTTTTCCTGAACTATTTGGATTAAATTCCAGAGCTCATGCTTCTTTAAATACTTGAGGGATATTCTCTTACATAACCATTAGGTATGATTTTCAAAACCAAGAAAGTCAACATTGATACCATAACAATGATCAGCAATACTATAATCTGCAGACCTTTGCCAGTTGATTCTAATAAAGTCCTCGAGAGCACATTCCTGGGCCAGAACCTGTCACATTGCATTTCGTTGTCTCCTTATTCTTCAGTCCGAAACAGTTCTCCGGTTTCTGTCTTTTGTGATACATTTTCTAGAGTAAAAAGGCCAGAGCTTGTGTGGACGTTGGTGTTCCATCAGGAGGCCTGTATTGATAATGTCATTGTTCATCCCTTACTTGAGGTGACCCCTGTTTCTTCACTGCACAGTTGGTTGTCTTCCCTTTGTAATTACTATGTTGCGGAGAGAATTTGAGACTGTCCCAGCCATTGGTAATTCCACCGTGAATCAGTGGTTACAAAATAGTGATTTTTGCTTGGGTTATTATTACATTTCCATTTGTTAGTTGGCATTCTGCTGTAAGGAAGAAGTCTACCTTCCCTTCTTGTTTATTTTTTATTATCAGTAGAAACTCATGGATTCTTCTTTTATACAATGAGTTTTAGTCTATTAGGCCATTATTCATTTTGATGCTCAAGTTGACTCAGACTTGACCACTGGAAATTCGTCAAGTTGGCTCTTGAGTCTTTTTTTTTTTTTTTTTTTTTAGCATTTCGTACCTTTTTTGGCACTTAAAACTTAAAAGATGTTCCAAGGTCATCTGGTACTTTACCTGCCCCAGCCATGGAGTCAGCAACTTTTCCAAGGCACTCTGATTCCTTTTAGAGAGGATGGGACTTAGAAACTAGAATCTGAGTGGCAAGTAAGATTTCCAGTTTCCTATATTGTTTCAGAGACTTGAATACTCAAAAATCTTCAGCTTTTTGAGTTTTGTATCCTCTTGTTCATGACGTTAGTTTTCCACAAATATGTAGCGCTCTGGTGTAATTGCTAATCTTTGTATTAGTGAACCCCTGCTCACCTCACGTCAGTGTTCCTCGGCTTCCTGTTTTTATTAGGAAGTGATGGAGTAATAGCTGTTTGTTACAGCAAAAATTAAGAAGTGATCCTTTCTGGGGCACCTGGGTGGCACAGTCAGTTGAGCGTCTGACTCTTGGTCTCGGCTCAGGTCATGATCTCACGGTTCATGGGTTTGAGCCCCCCATCGGGCTCTGCACTGACAGCAGGGAGCCTGCTTGGGATTCTCTCTCTCCCTCTCTCTCTCTGCCCTTCCCTCACTCATGCTCTTTCTCCACTTTCTCTCTGCCCCACCTCCCCTTAAAATAAAATTTTAAAAAAGAAGTGATCCCTTCTTTTTGCCTACTTGAGAGAATTCAGGTTTTTCCCACTCCACATTTACCTCCCCCTCCCCCCTGCCCCTCAGCAAGTGTTGTCACTGTTAGGCCAGGTTTGGGGGAGCTTTCTCGATGGAGGGGGACAGAGAAATGCTGCTCAGACCAGAGCTGCTGATGTTCAATATTTTCAAGATAAACCTGGGATTCCAGCGTTGCTGCAGAGTAGCAGAGGAAAGGAGAGCTTTAAGAAGCATCTTTTACAGGGGCGCCTGCGTGGCTCAGTCAGTTTAATTCCGACCTCAGCTCTGGTCATGATCCCATGGTTGGTAGGTTTGAGCCTCATGTCGGACTCTGTGCTGACAGCTCAGAGCCTTAAGCCTGCTTTGGATTCTGTGTCTCCCTCTCTCTCTGCCCCTCCCCTGCTCACACTCTGTCTCTCTCTCAAAAATGAACATTAAAAAAATAAAAAAAAAAAAAGGGGGGGAGACATCTTTTACAGCCCATATATCCTCTCCACAGTGTTTCTGAATTAAAAGTAAAGGTTCAGCATTACGCTGACATTCTAGTGTGGTCTGTGGGGACACATGTCTTGGCTTCGGTAAGGTCATCCGCGTCTCCTGGGAGCTTCCCGCCTCCAGAGGCAGTGGCCGCCCTGCAGCTGGAGGCCCAGGACCACCCCACACTGCCTGGCTCGGGGCAGAGGCCACCACTGCTGGCCGCTCAGCACAGGCAGGAGACCCCTGTAACCAGACCTGCTGCCCTTCAGCCGCGCCACCTCGCTCATCCCCCCGGCTGTGTAAGGGGCCAAGGTTCAGTTTGGGGTTCCCTTGAGATCACTCCCATCTCCAACAGTCTCCAATGTTTTGGGTTATGATTTCCTCCTGCTATTTCATTGTATACTTGATCTCTTCTACTTCCCGTTTTTTCAGGAATTAGGAAATTTTTCTGATCTGCTTATGTTACCCTTTCTTGTTTTTCAATATTATTTTTGAATATTTTTATGGGTTTTTTTTTTTTCCCATCAAATTTGAGGAAGTATGATACCACCATTGCCTCATTCTGGATGCCACAGTGAAGGGTGTTTTAACCCCTGGGTAACACGGCGGGTGGGCACTGGAAAAAGAGTCTACACCCAGAGATATCAGATGCCATAGTGGAGATAAGAAATCTGTCAATGAACTCTAGAATTCTTGCTAATCTGGTGTCGTAATTATAGAAGTATTTAAACAGGAAATTTACACTTAAACATAATATTAAGGTTTTGTGAAATTGCTTTTGTTGACTGGGAAGCATACTATTTAAAAGAACCACAGTTGGTTGAGTGTTGGGCTCTGCGCTGAGCATGGAGTCTGCTTAAGATTCTCTCCCTCTTCGATTCTCTTTGACTCTCTCTCTCAAAAAAAAAAAATTTAAAAATACATAAGTAAATAAAAGAACCATTGTTTCTCCAATTCTCATCCCAGAAACTTCTGGAGCGATTCATCCATGCTGCTGGCAGAATTTACCAGTTAGCACTTGCATTTACAACCTTCCTGTTGAAGAGCACTGGGCCATGTGGGAGTTAGAGGACTTAGCCCCTTATGGAGATCAGTTCACCCTGTTTATTATGTGTAATACATTCCAAATGAAAATCTTAAATGGTAAAGACCACACTACCCTAACATTTCCATTTAGTACAGCTTGACCAACAGTAGCAGGATTGAACAGAAAGAAGACACAGTGAGGTCTTTCTAGCAGCAAGGGGGACCTGGTACTGGCTTTCCGATCTTTGGTCGGGAATGGCCCAGACACATCATGCCTTGGGTTGGGATTAGTCTTGGCAATAGTGCCGCACCGGGCAAGAGGCCCTGGTCAGAGGGAAGGGCAGGAAGGCCAGAGTCAACCCTGTGGTCAAGATAATAAAACACCAAGATACTTACTGAAAGCTATCAGCCTAGCCACCTCCTACTACCGATGGAGAAAGTTTGAGAGGAAGTGATGTACCCCAAGGTCAAGCTGTCAGAGGCAGAAGGGCCTGGCACACTTCTAACGTTAATGTTTTAGCACACTGCGCACACAGAGCTTAGTGGTAAATAAATCCTGAGGGACAACTGTTTGAAAACCAGGAGAAGGGCTGAGAACCTTGTCAACCCTGACCACCAACTCCTGTCCTTGCTCAGCACCCAATCCAATCCAATTTGTTTATGGAGAAGAGTGTGGAGGGGCACCTGGGTGGCTCAGTCAGTTAAGTGTCTGACTCCTGATTTCAGCTCAGGTCATGATCCCAGGGTCGTGGCATCAAGCCCCAGCATCAGGCTCTACGCTATAAGCATAGAGCCTGCTTAGAGCCCCTCTCCCCTGCTTGCACGCACTCTCTCTCTCTCTCTCTCTCTGAAATAAAAAAATAAATAAATTGGAAAACCCCTAATATTGAATACCTACTACCAAAATACAACCATTTCTTGACAATTCAATGACTGCTTTCTCAAGCCCGTTTGCTCCAGGGTCTGTAATGTTTTGAAAACCATATGTTGATACTGCAAGAATAGGGGCAATTCTGAGCTCTGCTGTCTCCTCCAAGATTCACATCACCGCCTACTGCAGGGTAGAACTGAAGTTGTGAAGACAAACATGGCCTGGAATAATGAAAGTCACATTTCCCCCAAAGAGTTTCCTTCCCTTCCATAGTTCTACCTACTTTACCAAAGCTCTGCTCTCCACAAGTAAACCAGGCAGAGAGGTGAAGGGCATTGCTTTATTCCAGAGCTGATCAGGACTGAGGAAGATATTGACAATCTTCCTTCACTTCCTCCCTCAGCCTCCTCCTGGGTGAGAGATGCTAATAAGAATCAGGGTGATCATGAGCCAGTGGAGGAAGTTAAAAAAAAAAAAAAAAAAAGTGAAGATTGTACACACTTTAGTTCATGTCTGGCATGCCTTGGCCTTGATCTTCTGGAAGCAAGGAGAAAAAGAAGTGAATTAAGGTTACAGATAAATTCAAGGAAGGACTGAAACTAAGATTATAATAATTTTGTTCCTTTGGTCACTCAGTGTTCCTTTGTCCCCATGTCTAATCAAGGCCAAACTGGTTGGTTTTCTCCTACTGGCCCGAAGTGGGTAGAGAGTGGTTTCCAACATTGTCCAAAACGTCACCTCCATTTTGAACCTACTCCTTCTGGGAAAGAATGGTTGTCTAGCGTACGGTTAGGGAGAAGTGGGAGAAAGACTTAAAGTTTCCAACCACGGGAGGAGCAACACACCAATGATGCTGTAGGACACGGGGTGTGGCAAAGAGCCAGCCAGGGTCCAAGCCACGTGGCCTCGGAGGCCGCGGCAAGCTAACACTCACACTTCTGGGGCCAGGCTCTGCCCAGAGAGAAGTATCCCGGTGCTTCCTGTCCATAAGAAATAGCGAAACCCAGTACATCTAGAGGGAGGCCGCGTACACCACACTGTCTTTGCAAAAGTTTTCCAGGAAGGATTGGACCAACTGGATGGTCTGTCTCCAGACCAACCCTGGCCAGGGCTCCAGGCCAAGGAGAGCTGGGCGAGCCTGCCACGTGTGGTCGGGGCTGTGTCCAGTGTTCAGGTCTTGAACATGAGAAACCCCCCAAACGCCGTGCCTGGCGGGTTCCTCGGTATTACCGATCCCTGGGTTAACTCGAACCACACTCTCTCGCCTTTTTGCAGCTCGGCCATAGCAAAGGTTGTTGCTGTGCTTCCGCCCTTCCGCTCTTCGGTAGAAGCGACAGGGGTCTGATGGCGACCTCCAAACACGAGCTGCCCCGTACCTGGCCCTGGGCCAAATTCAATGCTCACTGCAAACAGATAGACCCCACGCACGGGGGCTCGGAAGTAGCCATGTTCGGGGAAGTAGCTGCTGCCAATGTTGATGTAAGTAGTGTTGAACTTCACTGTCTGCAGGGTGGTCGTCCCTCCCGAAAGGCTGGCATAGAAGGCCACAGGGGAGCCTGGAATGCAGGAGGGAAAGTGCTCAGTGACTCAATCCTTCACTCCCTTGGATGAGAAAGTAAACCCTGAGACCTGCCTTTCTCACATTATTAACGGTAGGAATAAGTCACTATTTCTAGATACCCTATGTGTTCCCAACAGCAACCTCAGGGAGTGGGAGCCACTGACCAATACTCACCATGTCACTAACTGAGAGAAAGGAGAACACAAGTCTGTTGTCTCTACCGGTGTATGTTTTTAAAAAGCACTTCCTCCTCTGCTCCCTCTTCCTTCCAGCATCCTCAGAGGTAAGTACCCTTCTTTGAGGAAACTTTGAATCTTGAGTGCTTACCCGCTTGTCCAAAGCTACATGGCTTGCCAACGGCAAGCTGGGACAGGAACCCGGGTCTCTGCTCCCAGACTCCTGCCACCTACTGGGGATCTTGAGATAACACCCATCCTCGAGGTAATAATGCTAACGCTGGTGAGAGAATGAAAGATCACCGAAGGATCCTTCCTACTGGATGTTTGGCACAAGACCTTAGAGGAGAGCAGGTAGGACTGGACAAGAAAACTCTTCGAGCTGGCCATCTTAACGTTTTCCAGCCGTTGCACAGAACGCTGGGATTACAGATGGGGAGACGGGCCCAGAGAGGGCAGACCTGCTCCAGGTGACACAGGTCATAAATCACCACACTGGCAGATGCCCTTGGATCTCCTGATCTCTGGTGCTCTCTTTCCATTTAAAGAAGTATTTTAGCCAGCCACAGGAGGACCAGCAAGATGAAGAGAACACAGGCGTGAGGTCTGCCAGGCCACAGGTGGGCATGGAGCCAGAGGAAGCCTCTCTACGTAGGGAGTGAGTGTACAGTGAGGAAGGAGCCAACCCAGCTGCCCAGCCAAGACTCTCAGGCAGCAGAAGACAGGGCCAGGAGACAGGAAGGGTGAGTCCCACTGGGGTTCTGGCCATGACACTGGCCTTGGCACCCAATGAGGTGATGTTCCTCGTGTGCTCCCTCAACTCTCTGTGTATCTCTCTGTCTCTCAGATGAGACCAAACTCCCCATTTCCTAGGGGGTAAAACCAAAGCCTAAAGGAGGGGCAAGCAGGTGCCTGGGTGGCTCAGTCAGTTAAACGTCCGACTTCAGCTCAGGTCATGATCTCAGGGTCAGTGGGTTCGAGCTCTGCGTTGAACTCTGTGCTGACAGCCAGCTCAGAGCCTGGAGCCTGTTTTCGGATTCTGTGTCTCCCTCTCTCTCTGACCCTCCCCTGCTCACGCTGTCTCTGTCTCTCTCAGAAATAAATAAAACACTTAAAAAAAATTAAAGGAGGGGTAAGCTGCATAGAGGTTAGTGACTTAATCCCACCAACAGCCCCAGCTCTTTGACTCCCGGTCCAGCAAGAGTTTTGTGACTGTCAAATTTTTGCTCTTCTTTCGTTCTGGAAGATTTTTTGAGAATTGAGAAGTTTGAAACAGCTTTCCTGTCTGTGGAAGATGGTGTCACGTCTAAGGCCGGCTGCTGGCTCTGCAGTTCCCCCGGCATCCAGGAGGTGGGGCGCTCGCCCAGCCGAAGGAAGGCCGGCCCAGCGCGCCCTCTGCCGGTACTCGACTGTCTCCACATGTTGCGGCCAGCCCGCCTGCGGCCCAGAGTTCAACGTTAGGGGCAGACCCCACCGGCGCCTGGGCCCAAACCGGCCCCGCAGGAGGCTGTAGGGCTGTGCTTCAACGATTTGCTAGCTGGTAAACTGAGAGTAGGCTTCCCTGCTGGGCACAAATTCAAGTCCTATGGACCCTCCTACAAGACCGAGAAGGGGGAATTTTTATTTATAAGGAAAAAATTATTTTGAAATAACGAAATATTGCAGTGGTAAACTCGGATACCTAAACCATCAGGCTGCCGAGGCCTTCCTTGCACCTCGCACAACAGGAAAAATGATGGAAGTGTTAGTGCTGGCGGACAGAACCTCAGCCCTGAAAATACTGGCAAAACTGGTTTCTACTAAATGTTATACCTTGGGCTACGTATGTGGTGAACGAATCTGTTAGTCTTCATAACAACCCTTTAATGTAGGGAGTGATTCTCCCATTTTAAAGAGGGAGAAACTGAGGCAGGTAAGCAGTGCTAGAGACTGTCCACTGCCCCGGGGCACACAAAGGCCTCCAGGGCCGTGATGGAGAATGACAGGAACAGGGCAAGCTTGGGGTGGGATCCTCAGACTTCCCACACGCCACACTACACCACGTATAGAGAGCACAGATGGCAGCCTTGTACCCTGTCCTGTGTCCAGATGAGGACGTGGCCATAGCCCCAAGGCCAGCCTCTCTGGCAGGGGACAGTCACTTGAGGCACAGAATCTAGTGGTCTCCTTCCCAGGGCCACACTCAGGGAGGGGCCAGGAGGGCGGGCTGCACGTCACACCAGCCTCAGAGCCAGCTGCCCAGGCCCAGGGTCCCAGGGCCCTGCAGGGACCCATCGTCAAGGGCCTTTCACAGAAAAGCCAGCGTCCTAGAAACAGCTGGACGGGGTTTGGGGATCCCTGTGCCACTCACTAGCTGTACGAACAGGACACTTGCCCTGACCGAGCATCGGTTTCAGGCAAGGTGGCGGTGATGTCGCACTGCTGAGCTGTCATGACTCCATGCGGCAAAGCCCAAGGAAGGCCTGGCGCAGAGCAGCAAGATGAGCCAACTATGTTGGCAGGACAAGCTCCTTTCAGGGCCCAAGGCCTTCCCCTGTATTCTCCTCCTCCCAGTGCTGCCCATGGCAGGTGACACCAGTCCCTTGTCATGTATTTGTAGAACAGGGAGCTGGTTAAAGCCATGGGGGTGGGGGGGTGAGGAAGGATGGACGGGAAGAGCTGAGACGAGAGATTTGAGGCACCCGCTCCTCGCTCTAGGGGCAAAGGGGCAGACAGCCAGTGGCGTGTAGATGAGCCTCAAACGTTTACAGGGAGGGCCCCTGCCTGCTCACTGATGGTTGGTTCTGGTGACTTCTACCTGCTTACACTTCGGGGAGCTTAAGAGACCCCGGGCCCTGAATGAAAGGAGGATCAGGGCAAAGCTGGCCCTGAGCACCCCTGACGGATGCTTGCTCGGTTCTCTTTCATCCGGCTTCTCGAGGCAAAAGAGCTGCGAGCTGCCAGCTCTGTCCTCCCAGACTCACACATCCCCCCCCCCCCCAAGCCCCTCAGGAACTCACCTGCTTCCCAAAGCGCCAGCCCTTTGATACGCGCATCCGCCCCAGGCTCTGCTTCCTTCCTGTCCCTCCTCCGAGGATCTTCTAGATCTTTCTGGTGCTTCTTCCCTTTCTTGCTCAGCGTGGCCTGCAGCTTTCCCAGGTCCAGGCTGACGTTGACGGCCAAAAGCCCTTGGAAGTTTCCGAAGAGTCTGTGGAAGAGGCGCTGGTGCTGCTCCAAGTCGCGCTGGGTGGCGGACAGCGCCTCCTGCAGGCCCTCCAGGGAGCCGTTGCGGGACGAGGCCCCGGAGGCCTCGCAGCAGCGGCCCACCCGCTGGAGGTCGGCGTCCAGGCGCTCCAGCTCCTGCGCCAGCCCGGCCGGGACCCGCCCTCCGGCCACCCCCGCCGCCGCCTCCAGGGCCGCCACCCGGGCGGCCAGCGCGTCCCAGGCGAGCGCCTGCTCCTGCAGCCCGCTGGCGGCGTCCTGCAGGCCGGCGCGGATCTGCTCGTAGCGCAGCGGCAGCGGGTCGGGCGCCTCCTCGGACATCTCCTCCATCACCTCCTCCCCGAAAAGGGCGGCCAGCACGGCCTCGTGCCGCAGCGCGTCGTCCAGCAGGGCCTTGAAGTAGCCGTGCAGCTGGCCGAGCTCGCGCCGCGCCTCCCCGTGCGCCGCCCGCAGCGCGCTCGCCTCGCGGTCCAGCGCCCGCAGCTGGCTCCGCAGCCGCGCCGCGTCGGCCCGCGCGCGCTCGCCCTCCTCCCGCCGCTCGTCCACCGCGCGCCACAGCGCGGCCACGGCGCCGCTCAGGGCCTGCAGGGACGAGCCCTCGGGCTGCCGCCGCTCGTCCAGGCCCACCTGCGCCTCCTCCAGGGGCCGCGCGGCGTCCGCGTCGAAGTAGAGCTTCTGGCAGTTGCAGTCCTTGACGTACTTGATTAGGTCGGCGTTGGCGCCGTGCAGGTGCTGGATGGTGAGGTTGAGCTCCAGGAGCTGCCGCTCCATCTCCTCCTTATTCTCCTCCATGATCAGCGACTTCTCCATCAGGATCACCCGCAGCTCGCGCAGCGCCGTGTGGTTCACCTGCAGCTCCAGCAGCTGCCGCTCCACCTGGCTGATCTGATCGAAGGTCTCGTCGGATTCCGAGTACAGCTCCTTGATCTCCTCCACGTGCTGCGCCAGGGTGGCCCGCATGTCCGCCAGGGTGTCGCGCAACTCCTCCTCCCGGCGGCCGGCCGCCATGTGCAGCGCCGAGAGGTTCCTCTGCAGCTGGCCCAGCCTGGCCTGCAGGCTCTCGGGCTCGGGCCTGGCCGCCGCCCCCGCCGCCACGGGGACCAGGCTGCCGTTGGCGCCCACGGCCCCCTGGGCCTTGAGGAACCGCTTCAGCTTGGCGTCCACATCGGTGTGGACCTCGGAGAGGGACTGCTGCAGGGAGAGGCGCTGCGCGTGCATGCGGTCCTCCACTTCCTGCCGCAGCTGTCCCACTCTCTGGGCGTTGTCCTGCACCTTGGTCTCAAATTTGGCGCCGAGCTCCTGGAAGTCAGCCCTGGCCACGGTGCTCTCCCGGACCCCCCTGATGGCCCGCTGGTTGGCCTCCACGTCAAGAGAGAGGTTTCTGATGGCCTGGGAGAGGCTGTGCAGGCTTTGGTTGAAGCTCCTCCAAATGGGGCTGAAATGTTCTCGCAGGAAGGCGTCCATGTGGGGCAGTAGCACCTGCTCCGGGGATCTGCCGCGGAACTCTGCAACGGAGACTCGGTTTCATGCAAGCCCTGCCAGGAGCACTCACCCCTCCCCAGGCGGGGCGGAGGGGGCTCCTCGGAGATTTAGGCCTTCCTGCCCCGCCTTCCTCTCCTTCCCTCCCTCGCCTCTCCGCCTCTCCTCGGATTCAAACAAGCTGTTCCTCACCCCCTGGAGCCTGCCACTCACCAGGCTCCGTCTGATTTGCCTCCATGGTCGCAGCTGTGAGGTTGCTTTCCAGGGCCTTCCTCAGGCCTGGGAGGCTGTCTGCCACCTGGTGAATATCATTCTGGAGGTCTTCCTGCAGCACCATGGTGTTGCCGGTCTCCACATCTGGGTGGCCTGAAGACACACAAGGGATAACTGTCGAGGTCTCATGCCCCAGGTCGGGGCAGATCGTGAGGTGCGGGGAAGGAAATTTCCAGCTTCAGCTAGAAATATCAGGAAGATGTGTGCTGATGTCCTGTGAACAGGAGCTCAGAAGCCTTTAGCTCCAGAAGGGGACATGCATGGCGCCTGAGCCCTCGCCCTCACTGGCACACCCCGCCCCCTAGACGTGCCTGGTCAATCACGCACACTTTCATCCTCAGCTGTGTGGACATAGCCACTCACCGCCATTCTAGGCAGCTCTTGTCTAAAGGTAGGAGTTCACCGCATGATGAAATTTATTCGCCACCCCGGCCATGGTCCAGCCTCGATAGGTCTCACAATTGGCACCTCTTGGTGGTTCTGCGCTGACTAGACACACCAAGGCTGGCGTGACTTCCTGGCCCTGGTTAAGAGGCATGTGGGGAAGCTTCTTCCAGACCGTGGGATCTTGTCCCATTCAAGGGGCAACGAAGGTGCCGGAGGAAGCTATCCTTTCGGGAAAATGCAGTCAAGGAAAAGGGTGTGTGTGCTTAGCCAACAGGCAGTGACCGGGGACCCTGGACGCTGGCCTCCTTGGTGTGGGCCGTAGGGTGATACAGGTACTCCTGGGCCCAGAGTTTTCCTGAAGTGTTCTGGGCACGTGGATCCTGCCTGCCCGCCTGCCCCTCCTGCACCCTCTAGGAAAGCAGCATACCGGTTTCAAAGCCGGCTGGCCCTTCCCAAGACTCCTGGAAGCCATCACTTGGATCTTCAGGCTCAAGGATTGCCGTGGGATCTGCAGAGAGGAGGCAACAGATATCGACCCCACACGTCAGAGGAGCTGCCTGACCCCTGGGGCAGAGGCGGAAGGAGGGGAGGCACAGGGAGCCCTACCGTGGTGCTGGCAGTCAGGGCCCGAAAAGCCTGGGCAGCACCTCCAGGCCACAGAGGCCAGAACCTTCTGCTTGACCTTGTACACCGGCTTGTGTATCATGCGGTACCTGGGGAAAGAAGGCCGGCTCAGTGACTCCAGGGTGACCCAGCGCAGGACTTGGATGGATGGCCCACCTTGCCCCATCCTGCCCTCACTCACATGACTTTGACTTTCTGGCAGCCCGGAGTCTCCTGTGGACATGGCTGCTGCGAGTGGACGAGGAATTTCTCCATTTTGCAAGCAGCTACATAGGTGACCAGCCTAGACTTCTGGTAAGGGCACCAGTTACTGGAAAAACAAGCCAGAGGAGAGAGCTGCTGACACACCCGGCTCTCACATGACCCCTCCTAGATGCCAACAGCGGTGCTGTGCTGGTGCCCCACCCCTGCCTCCCCGCTGCGCCCAATGCCGGGATTCTAGAATCCATTAGCCCGAGAAGGGGAGAAGGGAACACTCTGCATTCTTCATCCCTCGCCTCCACAGATCCTGCCTGCTAGGGCACTTGCTCAGCTGCTTCCAGGGGCCAGCACAGAGAGGCTGACGAGCACCCCCAAAGTCACACAAAGCCAGCGAGGTCTCTCACTGTTTCTCTTGGTGCCAGGGAAGCAGCATAGCGCTGCTGGGGCTGGAGAGTCCTGGGTTCAAGTCCTTCACACTCTTTGAGTGAGGCACTTGGGGACTTTCCACTTCCCCACTTATCGGATGGAGCTTATAACACCCTTCTCCAAGCGGGTGGCTGGGTCACCTATGTAGCTAGGTGCTTTGAAGCGGGCTCCTGGCAGGTGCTCCGGGAACACTGTTGCCCTGCCCCGTCACCACCCACATCTTTCTTCACCACAGCCCAGGCTGTAGGGAGGCCTCCTGCTCCCTGGCCAGTCCCCATTATGGCCATTATGGAAATAGACTTTCAAACAAATGTGGGAGAAGGCAGCTGAGCTGCGCAGTCCCTTCTCTGGGGAAGGTCCTACAGGGTGGTTTGGGGGTCACATTCAGCTTCCTGAACACCTGAGAGGTAGCCTCGCCATCTACGCCTATACCCTTATGTGTTGTTGCAAGTCCCAGGAGCAGGGGGTACTCGTGGCTGACACACCCAGCTCACTGACCCGGTGGCAGGCTTGATGCCAGTAGAATAGGTCAGAGGGTCCTTCCCTTGGCAGTCAGCTCCCAGGACTGAGCTCTCCAGAGCTGCAAGTGGCAGTGACCTCCAGGGTTCAGTTCAGCTCAGCACCTCTTGGGTACTGGGTGCTGGGCCCAAGCTGAACAGCACTCAGCGCCAATATGGCGGAGCAGACCTTCCCTCCAGGGGCCCAAGGAAGAGCAGGCAATCTCAGATGGTGTGGAAGATACCAGGACCTGGGGAGACTTTCAGAAGGAGGTGATAACTTGGCACAAGTGACAGAGGTGTGTGGCCCACTGAGATGCAGAGGGTTGGGGCAGGGAAGGGGGTGCTGAGGTAAGGAGAAGCCAGACCGTGGAGGCCTTGAGCTCCCACTGAAGAGCGGGACTGTGTCCTGAAGGCACAGAAAGTTGCGGAGGGAGTTGAGCAGGAAAGTAACATGAAAGAGCCATCTTGGTTTCTGGGTACAGAAAGGCCAGGAAGAGGCAAGTTATGGTGGCTGTATCAGGGATCTAGGTGGGAGATGCTGGCACATTCCATGGGTGATGGCAGTGCATATGGAGAGAAGTGGCCACACTTGTCAGATATTAGGAGGCGGTGTTCCAGGGCCTTGGGGATGGAGTGGCAGTCAGGTTAGGACGTTATTCTCTGGACCTGGTCTCTGTCCTGGGGCCACCAGGCACCACCGCACCAGGATCCTGCTGGGGAGGGTAGCCCATATCTGTTTTGGGGGCTGCGCTCCCCAGCCTGATTTCCTACTTGGCCTCCCAAAGCCTGGCAGCCAGCTTTTACTCTCTTGACAGCAAACTGAAAAAGCCTGTCAGAAAAATGACCCCACTCAGGGGGAAAGACCTAAAAGCAAGGATATCAGGAGGTCCCCCAGTGAAATAGACCAGCAGAGCACATTATGACAATAGAGGTCAGAAAGACCCATCCACATGCCCAGCTTCCAATGGGCTTCTCTGTCTATTCTCAAGTGGGCAGATGTCCAAGATGACTCCTGAGAAAAATCTCTAGTATGAAAGTGGGAAGTCAAAAACAAACAATTGGGAAAAAATCAACTTGGAGAAAAGAACACTATGCAGAGAAGTCCCCCAAATTTGTATTAACAGCCCCAGATCTGTAAGAGAAGTTACTACATCCAAGAAACAAGAACAAGAAGCTATTTAAAAAATGGAAGAACATCCAGGGGTGCCTGGGTGGCTCAGTCGGTTGAGCGTCTGACTTTGCCTCAGGTCATGAGCTTGCGGTTTGTGGGTTCGAGCCCCATGTCAGGCTCTGTGCTGACAGTTCAGAGCCTGGAGCCTGCTTCGGCTTCTGTCTGTCTGTCTGTCTGTCTCTCTCTCTCTCTCTCTCTCTCGCCCCCTCCCCCATTGGCACTCTCTCTCTCTCTCTCTCTCTCTATCAAAAATAAATATTTAAAAAAATTGTTAATGGAAGAACATACAGAGACTGAGAAGGACCCTTGGAAATTAAAAATATAACAGTAGAAATGCAAAAGAAATGTAATACAAATGTTAGAGGGTAAAGTTAAAAAATTTCCCCCCAAAGAAGAGCAAAGGGCGAAAGAGAAAACAGTGAGAGGAAAGTTCAGAAAAACAGAAGACTAGTGTTGGAAATCTGTGGCAAATAAGCTAGGAATTCCTTGAGTTTGTACCGATGGGTTAACAAGGCAGAAAGAAATAGAAAGCTCCAGGGTGAACACATCCAAGATTAGGTAAACAAGATTAGGTAATCAGGGCAAAGCACCCCCGGTATAGAACAAAGGAACAGGAATAGGAAACCTCAGGATGAAAGCATCCAATAATAGTAAATAAGGTTCCGTATTCAGGGTGGAAACACCCCCCAACTTAGTACAATAGCAGAAAGCTGCTTTCACAGGAAGGACCAAAATAGGTAAACAGGTAAACAAGGCTTTAGCTGCAGCCGGTGAAGTTGCCCAGAGCTAATCAGCAAAAGAATGGTGCCTGGCTGACCCTGAGGTAGTATGCTCTGTGTCCGTCCCCTAAACAAGCTAAGATAAACAGACATGATGCCTCAGGCCCCCATAAACAAGCATCTGTTTTGTATAGACCCAAAGCCCTCACACTGCGTGTCTTCAAAACCCCTTTTCCCTCACGCCCATCACGGTTTCATTGGTTTCATTGTCTCTTTGTGCACGTCCATCACACTTGTAAGCCTTCTGATCCTAATAACAACGCAGCAAGGACCTTTCCTCAGGGCTCTTGTCTCCTTCCAGACATTAGCCTCTCTCACATTTTAATCCTGCATCTGCTCTCTTGCTGGACAAGAGAGAACTCCAGACCCAGAGTCTACGACAGAAATCCAACATCTGAGTAACAGGAGTTCCAGAAAGAGAACAGAAGAAGGAAATCGTTTATGAAAAAACCCAAGTATTACAGAAGTAAAGAACTCGAATTTTTTGATGCAAAGGGCCCACTATTACCCAACTATGTGATGAAAATAAACTCACATCATCATGAAATTTTAGAACTCTGGGAACAAAAATAATTTTATATGTTCTAGAGAGAAAAATCAACACACACACACACACACCAGCAATTAGAATGGCCTTGAGCCTTTCAACAGCAATACTGGAAACTAGAACACAGTGGAGAGCTTCAAAACATGGAGGGAAGGGGCGCCTGGGTGGCTCAGTCAGTTAAGCATCCGACTTTGGCCCAGGTCATGATCCCACTTCGTGGGTTCGAGCCCCGCGTCGGGCTCTGTGCTGACAGCTTGGAGCCTTGAGCCTGCTTCAGATTCTGTGTCTCCCTCTCTCTGCCCCTTCTCCTGCTTGCACCCTGTCTCTCTGTCTCCCAAAAATAAATAAACATGAAAAACAATTTTAAAAAAAACATTTCAAAATATGGAGGAAAAATTATTTCCAATTTAGAATCCGATGCCCAGTCTAACTATATCAATCAAAGCAAAGAGAACAAGAATAATGACATTTTCAACACACTAGGTTTCAAAGCATTGCCCCCTCCCCGAGGACCCCTCACCAGGAAGCTACCGGAGCAGTGGTTTGCAATCTTGCCATCAAATCTTCACACCAAAACCATTGTGTGGCACTTTCAAAAGAAGAGCCTCTAGGCTCTACTCCAGGTCAGTGAAGCAAGACTCTCTGGGACTGAGGCCTGGGCCTCAACATTTTAAAGCTCTCTGGGGCATTCTAAGTCACAGCCCAGGACAGGGTACCACTGTGCCCGAAGTGCCTCACCGACACAAGCCAGGGTACCAAGAAAGAGGAAGGCAGTGCATCAGGAGACAGGCCTTCCACGAGAGCACTGAGGGGAAGGGAGTCCCCAGGAAGGTGGTATAGGCGAGCCCAGGTCAATGATGGGCAGTCATCACTCAAAATGGCAATATGGGCGGATGATGGATAGGCATCTGTGTGTGTGCACGTGCGCATGCGCACACGCGCACGTGCGCATATATGCACACAGGTGTGCTCTTGCACACCTATGCATGCATGTTGGGGTGGGGGTATGGAGTGGGAATGAGAGCTGAGTCACTGATAATGCTACTTCCCTAAAAAGCAGCACTATAAACATGTAAGTTAGAGACACAGAGACAAACACCAAAGGAATCATCTAAATAGTTGAAACTAGTTGGCCTGTGGAGACCAGTGAGGGAGGGCAGGGGTTTCTGATCATCTCAACAAGCTTTCTAGAAGGTTTGATTCTAACCCAGAGGGTCACACAGGTTTTCTGCAGAGGGACAGATAGTAGATATTTCACACGAGACTGACTGCAGAATCCGTAGCGTCCAGTGCAAAATAAAAATACGGGACAGAGATTACACCAAGTGTGGGGCCCTTCTGTGGGTGCGCCCTCTGGGACTGCTCAGGTCACATGCCTCTGGAGCTGGCCCTGATTGTAAGCAAAGAATGTTCACTCAACTTGAGGCGGGGAGATAGAGAGACCACGAAATTGATGGGCCCAGAGTTCAGGGACCGCGCGGGTGAGACGGCCACCTTCACAGACCGGTCCGGGGCCAGACACTCCAGTCCCCACCTCACCTCCATGCTGGGCTCCCTGGGAATTCTGCAGCTTGGGCTCAGGCCTGGGGAAAAGTGTTTCTCTGAATCAATGGTTCTCAGCAGGGGGTGAAGTGGCTTCGCCCCCAGGTGTATTTGTCAACTTTCGGAGACCTTTATGGTCTTCACCACTGGGAGGGGGGAGGAGCGACTGGCATCTAGTGGGTGGAGACCGAGGATGCGGCTAAACACCCTGCCATGTACGCAGCACAGCCCCGCACCCCCACAACCAAGAATTAGCATGTCCCAAATGCCAGTAGTGCCGAGGGTGAGAAACGCCCACTCACAACAAAGTTCCATTCGTTGCTCCGAACTGCTGCCGAGGGTCCAGAAGGCCTGTGCCCCGGCACGCTGGGTCCAGTCCAGCCTGCCAGGGAGTGACTGGGACTTTCCACCTCGAACTCCTGGAACCGGAAGCGGTGCCGCCCACCCTTCCTGCCCAGGAACTTTCTCTCCTGACCTGCCCAAACCTCAGGCTCCAGCTATTCTCCCTGCCCACGCTCCCCCTCCCTTGGCAGCCCAACCCCCTTGGCACAGTACAGGCCCCTGGCCCAGAAGCCCTGGGAACATTCCTGACCTTTGCTTTGGTTTCCTCTAGCTCCTGGCAGCTTCACGCTGGCCCTCTGAGCCCGAGCCCCCAGCTCAGTTCGCTGAGGCACCCATTGTTCTCGCTGCCTCCTGGTCTCGGGCCTGGGCGCTCCTTGCACCCTCATCTCCTGGGGCCAGCTGGGCTTGGGCCACCCTGGGCCTCTGACATGGCCCCCCCGCTGACCCCTTGCCCTAGTCAGAAGAATGTCCACTGATCCCTTGGGAGCTTTTAATGGGAGCTGGGAAGCCTGGACCCTCCTCCCCTCCCCCTTTCTTGACTCAGGGTGACTTTGAGCAATGCCCTTCCCCCCACTCCTGGAAATGTGGAGAAGATTCCCACTTCCGTTGCCTCCCTGGGGGCAAAGGGAGGGGCTATGTGGAAGGCAGAGTGAGCCTCTAGCAGGGAAAGGGCTGTTAGCTGGAGCTTTCTGAATTATGCATGTACTGTTGCCACTGTCCCCTGGGACACTTAAATGCCAGTAAAACCCACCTCTGACTGCCCCTTAAGTCCTTAAGGCTTTCTGGGGAAGGAGGGTGTGTTCTCGGCATCCTTACTTTCTGAGACCTTGAATGCGGCTTTGAATATGACCGACCACTCTGGGGGAGAATTTTGCAGGGCTTTGTCTTGGAAAGGGGCTTTGACAGAGGAGACTGAGGCCACTCAGTGTCCAGCATGGGAGCTCCCTGAGTGTACCCTAGGCCCTGTGCTCTGACAACAAGATCAGGCGTAGGAGGCACAGCCATGGCAGTGACTGGTGGCCTGGGTTCCACCCTGCTCCTGTGTGACCTCCAGCCCTATGCTTGACTCCTCTGGGCTACAAGCTCTCAACTGCAAAAAACCACAAATGCTACCCACTTGTGCGTGGGTCAAGAGAAGCTGATGCTGGTAGCCAGGGCCAGTGGGGCTGCTGGGAGCAGCCTCTCCCACATTACCACCATCTCAGGGGACACAGGACAGACAGAGGATACCTGGAATTTGCAGCCCAGTGGATGTGGACCCCTGCTCTGACCTGTCACTTGGTTGTGTAGCCCTGGGTGGCATCCCCATTCTCTGAGCCTCATGGCATGTAAGGCGGAGAGTGCAGAGCTGTCGTGACAATGTAGAGATGGGGCACCTTGCCCGGGGCTCAGCCTGGTCCTCAGCGCAGGCTCAGTCCTGCAGGGGGAGCAAGAGCTGGCTCTGAGAAGCCTGCGTCCTAAGCTGCTGCTCAGTCCCACTCCCACCCAAACTGGGGAGCATCCAAAGAGCCTTCTTCCCACGGAGTCCAAATACACAGATGGCTGGGGGACCGAGGGAGGGAGGGAACACTCAACCATGTCCTGCCTCCACTCTGGGACCTGGCATCCGGCACCCAACTGTTCTGTCCAAACTTCTCTTTGCAAAGGGTCTAATCTGTGCCCATATCAAAGGCCTAGGAGAGCCCTGGAGCTCCAGAAACGGGTGTGGGGGCAAAGGCAGGGCAGGAAGCACCTCCAGAAACAGGTGCGGGGGCGCCCAGGGTCCAGCAGTCTTGTCGATGATGGTGCAAGCGCCCCGCCTCCCCTCCCCCTGCTGCAGGAGGGAGGCTGGAGCAGCATTTCCGCCTGTCCCTTCACAGAGCACGGGAAGCAATCAGCCCGAGGAAGCTGAGCAGCATTTCCTTCCTTTCACACTAGCCCCTCTGGAGGCCTTGACAACCTGGGCCGGGCCCGTGGGGACCGCCGCTTCTGGGTGGTGGGGGGAAGGAGACCCAGCACACCTGCTGGGACCACCCCCCCGGATTCCCCTGGGACCTGGGCATTCCTGGGCTGGGGCTCCCTTTACATACATCCGAACGTGCTGGACACACACTGGGACCACCCAGAATGGAGGAACGCAGCCCATGAGCCTCTCCCCACAGTCAACAGGGTAGGGAGAAAGAAGGGTGTCTCCTACCTCCTTCTGATCCACCTGGGACCCTGAGCCTCCCTTTTATCAAAAGGAAGCAGGCTGCCCGACGAAAGGAGCTTTGGGGAAAGGAGACTTGGTTCTTTGACCTGAAATCAGAGCTGGGTGGCTGGAGCCCCTCACCAAGAATCGCCTGCTCCACCCAGCCCTGAGCCGACCTGGTCGCAGGGCAGAGTTGGGGCCCCTCCTCCCCACTTGGCCAGCCCCTCCCTCACTGAGAGTCAGTGTGCACTTGCTTATTACTCTTTCCTCTCCAAGGCCAAATCCACTTTCAGGAAAGTGTCCAACAAACACGTTCACCTTGAAGTGTCAGAGCTTATAGGACACTGTCTCAGGCAGATTCATTCCATAAGCTAATGTGATAGTGAATCTCAGGGAGCCAAATGGAAGACTCTGGGTGGGTGTAAATTGACCCATTTCACCCTCCAAATCCATATAAATACCCTCACTAAGTCTGCTGTGTGTGTGTGTGTGTGTGTGTGTGTGGGTGTGTGTGTATGGTCGAGGGTGTGGTGGGCATGTTAAATGCATCTGAGAGTTGGGGCTGCCCCTGAGTGCTCAGGAACCAGAACATGAGCTCTGAAGTCAGACTTAGATCCTGGTTCTAGATCCTCTTAGCTGTACAGTCATGGGTCAGGTGTTTAGTCTTTCTGAGCCATGGGTTCCTCTCTGTAAGCCAGGCTGTTAGGAGGATTAACTGAGTTAACACCTGCACAGTGCCTGGCCCCAGGGTGGACCCACAAAGACACCTGCTGCCCTGACTGGAGCACCCCGGGGAGGAGCCCACAGGTCCGGCACCTTATCAGCAGGGGCACCTGAGTCTGGATAAATAACAGACTGGAAGATGGTGTCCTGGTTCAGTCACAAGACCATTCCACCCATTTCCAGGAGGGCACTGAAGCAGAACTCAGTGGATGCCCTGGCTTCCTCTTTGTTCTGGAAATTGGGCAGAGTACCCTGTCTGCTTACTGCTTGTCTCTCAGGGCTAGGCTGAGGACCCACATCAGTCCTCCTGGGCACTTGAATAAAAATTCAGTCCCTAGGAGCATCTGTCTTCTATCACTTATGCCAGGCCAGCCTCACTTAGGCTCACCTGTCAGTTGACTTCAAAGAAGGGGAGCCACTGCCAGACCAGCTGGAAACTTCTGGAACTACTGCCCCTCATCACCCCATGCTAAGTGGTTGATGGCAAGAAATGCGCTTGCCCAACCTCCAGGTTGCTCCTTGTCGTGGGCCAGGTGAAGAACTTCCTGTGGTCCTTAGCCTGGGCCCTGGGGTGCCCAGCCTGGGCTTGGAGGGGTGGCGGCCTCCTGAAGCAAGCCTGGCACCGGGCACCTCATTCAGCCTCACAGCTGGCCCCAGCAGGTGCATAATATTAGGTCATTTCACAGATGGATAACTGAGGTCCCAGGAGACCCTGTTCTGGCTGAGCTGGGACTCAGATCCTTTACAACGACCTCCCCCAAGGTCGAGGTCCTCCTTACCGTCTGATGGGGTCCCTGCCGATGTCCTCAGTCTCTGCCCTCCAGCCCGCAGGCTGCCTTGGACCATGTGGATCAGAGAACCTGTTACCTGAAGCCTGGGCGCAGGCCCCCAGCAGCCCCCAGCCTAGGGGCCCCCCGAGACCGAGCAGCAGTGTCAGGATCATCTTGGCCATGAGACAAGCTCAGCCGCAGCAAATGACTCCACACACTGCCAGTGATGTTGACGTCGTCTTCAAGTTAAGCCTCAGAAGGAAAAGAAAGCAGAGGGACAACAAAGAGAGGAAGTGGCCTGGGCCGGCCCACCCGGTGAGCCTCGTCCGGCCCCCCCCCCCCCCCAGCTACCTCCGCCGTCCCCTGCAGAGGCAGCCAACAACGCAGACCAGTTCCTGTGCCTTTCTAAGAGGACTCAGGTCAGGGACACTGGAGGTGTGGAACACACAGGGGGTGGTCCCACCACACAGGTCCCCATAGGAGTCAGGAGAAGAACGCAAGCATCGAGGTGGGTCTGCAGGAAGTGGTCGGCTCGGTCTCAGGGAACCTGCTGTCCATCCATGCTGGTGGCCAGGAAGTGAGGGGTCCTTGGTGCCTACTCAGCGCCTTTCGCCACTGGGCTGTGGGAGCCAGCAGGTGGGCGGACACTCAGAGAGAGACAGCTGTCCTAGGGTCACACAGTGCTAGCCAGAGGCCAGGGCTCTGGGAGGCCCTTTGTGTGCTCCTCTGCCCCAGTTCCCCCACTGGCCCTGATGGAGCCCTGGGACGTGGGGGCATCCACGGTGCTTGTAAGTCGTCAGGCAGGCTGAGCCGGTCTGGGAAGTCTAACCTGCAGCCTACATGGCCCCGTCCCCACCCCCCTGCCTGAGATGCTGATAGCAATTTGCCTCCCTGGCCTGACCACCTCTGTCCCAGATGTATACAGATACAATAGCCTGAGAGCACTCAGCCAGGGCGGCCGCGGTGCATGGGCAGGACAGCGAATGAATGAGGGACAGTGATGGATACGGACGTGTCCAGCCCCCTGCAGCCCCTCCCTGGAGGGCAGGGGGCAGGAGGGAAGCGGTGGGCAGCAGGGCCCCAGGGGAGCCGGACCCTACTGCCCAGCCCTCGGAGAAGGTGAGGGCGGGCCTCCTCCCCCGCCCTCCCTGGCCCGCTGGCTGAGCTCCCACCAGCCAGCCGCCGCTGCATCATCAATATTTCATGGGCGTCAATAAGAGGCAGCGGCAGCAGCGGGGACAGCGGCGGCAGCAGCATTCTCGCCAGCGCTAGCCACAGCTCGCTGGAAGAGTCAGGCTCCCACTGCCCACCACCATGGATGTCTTCAAGAAGGGCTTCTCCATTGCCAAGGAGGGTGTGGTGGGCGCCGTGGAGAAGACCAAGCAGGGGGTGACGGAAGCGGCTGAGAAGACCAAGGAGGGGGTCATGTATGTGGGTGAGTCTGGGAGAAGCAGGGCGTGGCAGGGCGCGGAGGCTGGAGGCGGGGGTGCCCAGTTACCCTGGGCCAGCCTTCTCCCCCAGCCCCACAGAGTCATTTTGGGTGGGGATGAGGTCCTGGCCATTGAGTCAAGGTCTCCATGCCCCGGAGCATCCCCATCCCCCAGCATACCACCCCTCCACACCCCCCAAGGTCTGCTTTGACCTCCTCAGGGCCTCAAGGTCTCTGAAGCAGAACAGCGAGAGGAGCTCGCAGCCTTCAGACACACTTGTTTGCACACATGCACACACACAAGTGCACAGATGCAGGCCAGTGTCTCCCACCCCAGCATCACCTCCAGGCCCTTGCACTCAGATGAGAAGCCGGCTTGAGCCTAGAGTCTTTGGGCTGAGCAGGCAGGTGGCAGCAGCCAAGCCCTGGGTCCCCACCCTTTTCAGAGGGAAGGGTAAGCAGGGGAGAGGAGCCTGAGCCCCAGGGTCCTGGGTAGCCCCACCCCCCTCAGCCCCTCGGAATCTGGTGACTCAGCTCCGTCCTGCCGCTGCTTCCTTCCGAGGCCCAGGCCACACCCAGCTGGGCCTGCACCCTACCTCAGGCCTGGTCTCTCTCATCCCACCATCCTGCCCTATCCACTTCCCATCCGTCCCCTTCCTCTACGCAGCAGGAAGCGGCCTTTGAAGGGACTGCGGCCCCCAGACACCACCTCCCCCACCAACCCCACAGCTTGTTCAGCTGCTCTGTGTGTATTTGCCCTGACCACCCCGCTTCCCACACCAGGAGGAGTGGGCTGACGCCTCCGTTTCCTCCCCAGGGGCCAAGACCAAGGAGAATGTTGTGCAGAGTGTGACCTCAGGTAAGGAGCCCAGGACCAGGGGACATGGAGGGTTGGGAGCTCTGGGGACCGCAAACTGGTCCTGAAGGCTCAAGCCCAGGGTCCTCCTACCCCCCAGCTGGAAGCCTAAGCCGTATGTGTACATGAGGTTAAACCCAGGGTGTGCCTCCTGCTCCCTCCACCCGCTCAGCATCAGGCTTTCTCTGGAGTCAGCGGAGGGGGCAGTCCAGGGCCTCCAGGAGAGGAGGCCCTCCTCTCTGAGTGCCCCGAGAAAGGGGTTGCTCAGCCTGACTTGGGCAGGCCGGGCCCGGACAAGGAGGGATGAGGACCACGGCCAGCCAGAGTCCTCTTGCAGTGGCTGAGAAGACCAAGGAGCAGGCCAACGCTGTGAGTGAGGCCGTGGTCACCAGCGTCAACACAGTGGCCATCAAGACAGTGGAGGAGGCGGAGAACATCGCCGTCACCTCTGGAGTGGTTCGAAAGGTGAGCTCCCGTTCTGGCTCTGGCTCTGGCTCTGGCTCTCGGGCCAGTCTCACCCCGGGCCCCAGAGAGGCCAGCTGAGGAGAAGGCAGTATTGCCTCATGACATGTAGGGAAGCAGAGACTTAGGGGGCCCATGGTCTGTGCTGGGTTTTTCTCACCCCCATTAACACCTAGAGTCCTCATAATTCTTCTCGTGAGGGGTGCACTTTGGGGCCCAAGTGGAAAGTGAGGCTCAAAGCCACGTCCTCTTGATGCTCAGCATTTGGAGGCGCCACATGTCACTAGTGAAAGCAGGGTGCTGTGGGCCTCACGTGGTGACAGGCGGTCTCCTGGGCAGAAGACACCAGGCTGGAGCGGCCAAGTCACCGCCCATCAGCCTGGTGGGAGGAGCAGGGAAACAGCGCCCCCTTGTGACAAGGCAGTGAGGGTCCTGACCTCTACTGTGCACATGCGGGGGCGTCTGCCCGTGGGCTGCCGGGTACAGGGGGCACAGGTGCACTTGGGTGCTCCCAGGAGGTGGTGGCCTGCTACATGAGCTATTCCAGCACCCACCACAGAGCAGGCTCTGCTTAAAGCATTTTGCATTTATTAACTCATTTAATCGGCACAAATCTGCAGAGACAGGGTGTGAACATGAGGCCCAGAGAGGTTAAGTGATGTGCCCAAGGTCCCGGGGCTGGTGTTCCTGGCCGCAGGGCCCGTGCTTGGAGAGATTCTATTCTGCATGAGTGTGAGGTAGCGGTGGGAGCCCCGTTTATACGGGAGCCAGGCACAGGCCGCTCTGAGGCACCCGGCAATGAGGATCCCTGCTTCGGGGAGCAGGTGGGAGGCAGGGGAGGGGCCACCCTGCCCGGGAGGCAGCACCTAGACGTGCACTTTCAGGGCCAGCACAGGGTTTCCATGTCTTTGGAGCCGGCAACGGGTCTGTCTGCTCATCCCCAGCTCTGCCCCTTGCCGGCTGTATGACCTTGGGAAGCTATTCAACCCCTTGGCACCTCCATTACCTTACCTGCAACAAGGGGGGGAGTGGCCGTACCTGTTTGGCTATGCCATTGTGTGATCGTGCAGGGAAATGGCCCCCATGAAACCGTTATACCTGTATCATGGTGTGCACCCAAGAGAGGCAGGGGACTATATCATCATCATCTGTGCCTCTGGGCAGGGCCCATAGGTGCTCAGGAGAGCAAAGGAGGCCCTGTGGTGGGGTCAGCCTGCCACTGGACCTCTGAGAGTGCCTGGGCACTCCTCTCTGGCCTTGAAGGAGGGCTGGTAAGCCCATGGAGCCACCCCAGGGCCTGGGGTGGGGGTGGGGCTGCCCCAAGGAGACATTTCCTGGTGACACCCAGAAACCAGTCACCACTCTTCCTTCAGTGAACCGTAGAATGATGCAGCCCTGCCTGTCTCACAGCCCTTCCATTCCTGTGGCCTCATGCACCTGCCTTGAGGCAGCAGGGCTAGACCTGGGGCCACCCACCTCTTGCCTGGAAAGCTGCCCCTACAGTGGCTGACACAGTTCAGTGCCCATTTAAGCCCCAATCCACCAAGGATGTTCCAGCAGCAGCATGGAGATGGCAGTGTTCTCCAGAGGTTGGTGCTAAGACTCGGGTCCAGGCTGACCACCCAGTCTGGTCCTGCCCACAGCTGTCACTCGACCACCCCCCAGGCAGGTCACCTTAGGCAAGTGTCTGACTGGGGCTAAGGGAGTAGGAGACAGGAAGTGAGGAGGATTATATAATGCCTGCTGGCCCCAACCAGGCCAGCTTGAGCCCAGAGCCCATCCAGGAGGCAGGGAGAGAGAACACTGCTGCTAGGGATAGGGATGGGCCTGGAGCAAGCCGAACCTGATCCCCATCAGCCCCACTGCTTCGAGCTGTGAGGCCTTGAGCTGGGTATGTGGCCTCCCTGGCCTCAGTATGCACAGTATAAACACCCATCCTCCTAGGGCTATTTGGGGGTTCAGTAGGACAAGAGTGTGTGATCCTGTGATTCAGGGACTCTGAGGGTGGGTTCAGGCCTAGGGCTTCAGGGCCACATCCCACCCCCACTTCATTCCACCCCACCCCACCAGTCTTCCTCCATAAGAAGGCCCAACCATGGACCGCCCAGAGACCCCACATTAGTTTAGGGGTGTGCAAAGCTGGGCTCCAGGATACATGGTGTCCCCGGAAGTCTTGGTATCATCAGAGCCCCCACCATGGGTCCTTACACGAGGCTCTGTCGCTCCTCTGGTCAGTCTGGTGATGACACACCACATACAGAAAGGTGATGAGGGTCTCTTCTCGTCTTTGAGGCCGGGGGGATGAGCCCTGGGTGCAGAGAAGCTGGGGCCTCCACACGGTTCCACATCTCCCTTTCTCCTTCCCAGGAGGACCTGAAGCAACCGGCTCCCCCGCAGGAGGACAAGGCAGCCAAAGTGGAAGAGGAAGTGGCCGAGGAGGTAGGTGCGGGGCTCCCAGAGCACAGACGGCACCTGGGCAGTCCTGCTTCCCTCCCAGGGTCCCAGAGCCCTCGGGGCAGCCTTGTGACCTTCTGCAGCCCCCTCAGCCCGGATGGGAGGTCTCTTCATGGATGGTCCTCAGGGTGGAGGGGCATAGATGACTCCCAGCCCCACCCCACTCAGGGTGGCCACAGAGGGTGGGGGCCTGGAGCTGTGTGTGAAGGTCACTCTCTCTCCCAGACCAAGAGTGGAGGAGACTAGAGGGATGCAAGTCGGCCATGGAGGAGGAAGAGCCCTCTCCCCACCCGGCTTGAGGATTGCCTAGCCCTGGAGCGTGACTTGGGTGGCCCATGTTCCCGTATTCGCGCCCGGCCACCCATGGGGCCCGTGAAGCTGCCTTCACCTCCCTCACATCCCTCCATCACACCCTCTGCCCTCTGGTCCTCCTGACCCCACAGATGCTGCTGTGAATTTTTGTTTTTAATGATTCCAAATAAAACTCAAGTCCTCACCCCTGGCCATAACATGCCCGTGCTTCCTTTCTGTGCTGCCTCATTTAGGAAGAAGTCTCCTACCCCCCCACCCCCCTCACTCTGCCCCAGAATCGGGAGCTGGGCCAGCTGCTGGTGGGTCTGGGAAGCAGGTCTGGGACCAGGTACCCTCCATTTCGAGAACCTTGTGACACAGGCACTGCCTTCAGGGACCCCGCACCATTGTGTGTTGCTTCCCCAGACAACCTAACACTCCTCCCCCAAACAGATGGTAACTTTCAAAGATGTGAAGTACAAGACCTCTTTGAGTCCTCCTCAGCGCAGAAGGACATGACCCCACGGCCCCTCCTGCCTGGCCCCACCCAGCCTCGAGCTCCCACCCGCTTGGAGCTGGGCTTTCCTGTCCTTCACCACCAAGTCTTGTCAAGTACCATTAGAGAAAAAGGACAGCTGAGATGCAGGAGAGTGAGCCTCCACCTCGAAAATAGTAAAAATGAGCTCCTCCCAGGCCTGACCACTTTCCCTAATTGAATCCTCAGAACAAACCCATTGGTGTGACCCCAGCGTCCCGGACAATGAACTGAGGAACAGAGAGGTTAAATAACTTGCCCAGGGGCACAGAGCCTAGGGAGCGCGGGGGCTGGGCTGAAGGCAAGGTGGCCTGGTTCCAGAGCCACCCAGTTAACGCCCATGCTCTGCTCCAGCCACCCTACCTGTGTGGACTCTGGTGCTCAAAGCAGATGTTTCTAAATAATCTGGGGACAGGCTGACAGGTGCCCTACATGAAGGGCTATTGGCATCATGCCCTGGGGGCTTATTCAGAGGCAGCTGGGAGATTGCATCCCCTTTGATGCCCAGACAATTTGGACTCAGAGCATCTAAGTGACTTGCCCCGCCTCTAGCCCTGGGTGTCAGAGCCAGAGCTTGAGTCCACACGCTATTGCAGACACCCCCTGAGACCACAGCACATTCCCATACTGCCTCAGGGGTGGGAACAGGGATCCCAGGCAGCCCTGGGGGCCGGGAACCCAGCTGAGCCCAGCTGGGCAGGGTTGTATCCCAGCCTGCAGGCCATGGGCACCCACTGCTGAGGAGGCAGAGAGGAGCAGGAGGCTGCGGATACCCCAGACCCCTAAACCATGCCATGGGAGGAGTGAAGAGGTTCAGGGCAGTCAGGGGTTTCGTTGTTCGCGGACCCAGATGCAAGCACACAAGCAGGCCTGTGCATGCCCTGGAGGAGTCCTTCTGGGGCCTGGGTGTGCCTGAGAGTTCTTTCAACCGTAAGGGAAAGAGAGGAGGAGCCAGCCCCATAAAGTGTCAGGGGGAAGGGGACACCTAGACCCAGCCCCTGGGGACGGTGCATCACCAGGCTCCCAGTGTCCTCTGCCTCAGCTGAAGGAACCTGGGAGGGTGCCTGCTGCTTGACTCCCACCCTAAACACCCACTCAGGGCCCATTCCTGGGGTCATATGCCAAACAGCTAGGTTTACCTTGTCCAGGAAGCCTGTTGCCAGTCCCACAGCACCTACAGTGCTCTTAGCTTTTAAACCCCCCGCGTTATGCGCCCTCTGCTCTTGAGGCTGCACGTGACTTTGCTAGAGGAACAACTGATCTCTCCCTACCCCTCTCCTCACCTGAGAAGCCCCAGTGAACTGCCGGGTGCTGGGCTCAGTGTTGGACATCCTTCAGCTTATTTAAATCGTCACCACAGCACTTTGAGGAGAGTCTGTTACAGCTGTCCCCCTCCCCATCAAGGATGGGGACACTGAAGCTCAGAGAGATGGACTTGCCCTAAGGGGTACTTGAACCCAAGAGGTCTGACTGTGGTGCCTGCTGCTTTAGAGCCACCGGCTGTCTCTATTATCACCTGCTTGGGCCAGGCTGTGCCTCCCTGTCTTGTTCTTTAAAAAAAAAAATGTTTTTATTGCTTTTATTTATTTCTGAGAGAGAGAGAGAGACAGCGTGAGCAGGGGAGGGTCAGAGAGAGAGGGAGACACAGAATCTGAAACAGGCTCCGGGCTCTAAGCTGGCTGTCAGCACAGAGCCCACTAACCCTGAGATCAAGACCGGAGCTGAAGTCAGACACTTAACCAACTGAGCCACCCAGGCGCCCCACCCTGTCTTGTTCTTGCCCACTGGGACCAGCACCGGCATTGAATAGCTTTAACAGCCATTGATGAGCTAACTGCTGCAGGGAAAAAACCCTTCTGGCCAAAGAGACTAGTGCTACCGGTGGGAATTCAGGAGGGCAGGGGCGAGGCTGGTCTCTAGGGAGTCCCCCTGGCAGCAGTCTGCCTCCTGCAGTGCCTTTGTGCTCTGGGCTTGGCCCGGCTAAAGGCCAGGAAGAGCGGGGCGTGGCAGCGGCTCTCAGGGCTTGGTGTCCCCCTCCCCCCTTCTGATCTCAGCGCCTGCCTCTTCTACTTGCCCAGGGTTGACCTTATCTCCATTAATTCATTCTCACTGTGTGCATGGCATGCCTCCAGACATCCCACACGGCAGCTGCTGCTCCCCAGTTTATCCCCCTGTGTCCTTAGCAAACCCCCCTCCACCGCCCTCCCCAACTATCAGAGGCCTGGCCTATGCTAGCGCTAGCGGAGTGGACCTGGGTAAGTGAGGCTTCCCCAGAGCTCCAGAATAGGGAGACTCCCACAGAGGCGCAGAGACAGGCCCAGAGTGGAAGAATCAGAGGGCAGGCATTAAAGAGGGTCCAGATCCCGCACCCACCGCAGAAAGGGTGTGCGGCGGAGGCCTCCAGGCTCCGCAGGCCGGCTCCGGAGTGGTAGAAGGCGGGATGGAGTGGAGGCCCTATGTGCACACTTGAGTGCCAGGGGGTCATGGCTCTTGGGTCATTTTGTTGTCCTCGGGATCCCTGGCTTCCCCACTGATGCCCAGGTCTCTAACCTGTCTCCCAGCGCCCCCGGCCACCACGTCCTACGTGCGCTCCATCCTGGGAAAGCCTTGGCCACCCGCTTCTTCGTTGTGTGGACTGGGCTATGTCCCTGCCCTCTCTGAGCCACCTGCCTAACTTGTTGGGCTTTGGTGACCTAAGATTGCGATCTCCTTGCCTGGGCTGGGCGCACCGGCAGCTCCTTCCATTGTTCCCCCTCCACTTCTGGCTGTTTCCTCTCCCAGGGGTGCTTGCCAAAGAGAGCAAGTCACTCGACCCTCTCCGTTCTGAGCCTGACTGGTCCCCACGGTGGCGGGACAGACGGCCACTCCAGAGTGTCCAGGCTGAGTGTGTGGGGACAGCAGGCCTGGCGGTTGTCAGGGCCCGAGGGTTTACAGCCCACCCACGTGGATTTGAGTGCCTGTCCTGTGAGTTCATGAACTCATTTCACGAAGTTGTTGTAAACTTTATACAAGAGCCTGAAAAGCCTTAGGGCAGTGCCTGGCACAAGGTAAATGCTCAATAAAAGGCAGCTGCTATTATTAATGTCAATTCCAGCCTTCAGATTCTGATCTGGAGCTGACCCAGCGCCCACCGGATCCTCAGGGTCAGGGACAAGGGGTCAGGCGATGTGGAGGTGGGAGGTGTGTAAGCCCCCCTTCCACTCCTGTCCCTCTGTGGACCCCTGATCCAAACCCCCTGCTGCCCCTCACCCCTCTTCAGACCCCGGGGACACCTTCCCACAACGTCCTGCCTGAGGCCAGGATGTGTTCTCCCAGTAGGGTGGAGGCTGGAGCAGGGCCCGGTCAGTCCCCGGGGCTGGTCTGCTGGGAAACGCCCCTTGCCCCCTCTTCTCCGCCCCGCGCGGGGCGGGACAGCCCTGGGGCGCCTTAAAAACCAGAGCCGGAGCTTCGGTCGCAGCCAAGGTGAACAGGATCCAACTTCGCTGCAGCTACCCTTGACGACCTCGTAGACCCCCCCGCAGCCATGGCCAGCAAGGGCTTGCAGGACCTGAAGCAGCAAGTGCAGGGGGCTGCCCAGGAAGCAGGTAAGGACAGCGCGCGACCCGGGGCACTTTCAGGGACTCACGGAGGCAGAAGCCCGGGGTTACGCATCCGGAAAGTCGGTGGGCGGCTCCGGGTGGGGAGGGCCCTCCCTTGAGATGCAGAGATCGGGCACGACGCCCACCCCGCCCAGTCCAGGGGATGATGCCTTCAGGAGATGGGGAAACAGTGGTGCCCAAGGAATTCGGGGGCGATTTGGGCATTGCCAGAAGCCAATATAAAGACGCTGCGCGGGCGGGGAGCGGCCCCACCCCTATCCCAAGGGGCCCCACCTCGGTCCTTAGGGGAGGGTGAAGGTCCACGGAGAGAGCGCACTCCGCACCCTGCGCACCCCGAGATCCATCTCTGCCCGCTGGGATCTCAGAGGCGCCCTGGGCCGGATGGGATGGCAGAAGGGGCTCCTCCCGCCACGATCCGGTTTTGCTTTGAGTTCCCCGTACCTCTCCCGTCCTCCCGAAAAATAATCATTTCCTTCTAAGTCCTCACCCAGAGGGTCTTCCCACCCTCATCCCAGAAGGTAGGTATCCAGCCCTGTTTCTCCACCTCCAGCTCTTTCCTCCTGGAACCTGGGATTCCTCAGCTGGAGGGGGCCAGGGGGGGGGGTGGGAGATGTGTGGAGACCCCTGGGCCGAGCTGCGGCTCTTCCAGTCCCAGCTCAGCCTCCCCTGGGACTTCAGCTCCCAATCTGTCTGGCACATGTCCCAATGAACAGATAGCACCCACACTAACCCCCTCCTTCACCAGTGCCCCAGGGAATGCTCACAGTTTCTCCTCTGAAACTAAAATGCCGCCAGGAAGCTGTCTACAAGACTCTTCTGGGCCACACTTTCCCCATCTGCAAATTGGGTGCAAAAGCTCCTTCTCTGTGGCCCCGGCTGGTTCTGTCATCTAAGGACCCACAGGAGCCTCTGTGGGCCACAGCTCCCAGGCCTGCCTGACTCCCCCAATAGCCCCCTGACCTAGAGTCTGAGTAAAAGCAGGTTCCTTCCCATTCAACTGCAAGGATGAGTCAGGTCTATGGGGGCTGGAGCCACCTGTCTGTTCACCTAGCAGGTGGGACCCACTTGAGCCCCTGGAAGCCCTGTTCACCACAGGTACAAACTCTGGTCCAGGGGAGATGGCCTGACCTTGGAAGTGTCACCTCCTTTCTGGACTTCATTTCCTAATGCCGTCAGTTCCCTCCCCACAGAGGCACTAGCATCTTTGCTTGTGTGCCTCCCAGGGAGAGGCACAGGAGAGTGGCGGTGGTGACAGGGCCTTGCAAGGCTGCCCCCCACCCCCACCCCGGGCCCCCGTGCACTGGAGGTGGGGATTCAGGCATCTGGGCCAGGCTTCTGGGGGAGAAATTGTGAAAGAGGGACAGGGTTCTTCCTGGGCCATGGCCAGGAGCATCCACAGCGCAGATGCCAGCTCCAGCCTCTGCAATCCGGAAAATGAGGAGAGAAGCACGCCAGAGGGGAAGAGCTTAGAGTTACAAATAAACACCAACACCCCAGAGGCATGGAAACGGCCCCTGTGCCTCACTAGCACAGGATGGGTTGGTCAAAGGACTTTACCTTGGTGTCATTCGGCCCTTGGGTCCATAGGACACACTACTCTGAACAGATGGGGTGGCAGTGGTGGGGCCCCTGAGGTCAGCAGTGTCTCAGTAGGAGCTAAGGGCCACATCTCTCTGTTCCAGTGACCGCGGCAGGAGCATCGGCTCAGCAAGTGGTGGATCAGGCCACAGAAGCGGGGCAGAAAGGTCTGGTGGGGCTGGTGGGCAGGGGGATGGGCAACCCCAGCACACTCCCCACCCTATTCAGCCCTCACCCAGACACACCCTCTCCTCTGAAGCCCCTCTGCCCACATTGCTTCCTGGGGATGGCTAACCCTAGAGGACTGTGGTTCCCAGGGCCTGGCCCTCACGGGCTTTCTCCTTTCCTTCCCCAGCCATGGACCAGGTGGTCAAGTCCACCCAGGAAACCATCGACAAGACTACTAACCAGGCCTCGGAGACTTTCTCAGGTTTCGGGAAAAAATTAGGCCTCATATAATGAGACATGGGTGACTGCCCTCCAGCCCCTGGGCTTTGGCGGGCCCTGGGCCTGCTGCCTTATTAAAGTACATGTTCCTACCTCCTGTCTACTTCATGCCTCCCCAGATGCCCTGCCCAGCCCTCTCTCAACCCCGCCCTGCACCGCATGTAGAAACCCAGCCCCGACATCCAGAGTTCTGGTATTCCAAATTCGGAAACTCAGACGGACTGTCCAAGAATTCTTTTCCCATGGTCGCAACCTCAAGTCCAGACGCTCCCTTATCTGAAGTTATGTGAGCCTCCCGCTCTGTTCAGGAGTCACCCGGTCCCCATTCCCAAATCGCTCCCTCAGCTCCAGGAACCCCGCCCCTCTTAGGAGGGGATCCTCGGTCCTTAGATGCTCCAGGGGCTCCAAGAGCTGAGGCTTCGGGAACTTCTCCCCGCTAGCAGCGCCTGCAGGCTGCGAGCATCAGAGCATCCCAGGGCCGGGAGCCTGCGAGGACATCAAGTGACTGGAGCTCTCGGGGACGACGCAGAAGCGCAGCAGCAAGACTTAAAGCCCTCGCCGCACCCCCGTCCCCGCCCGCGGGGTGTTTGTGTGCCGGCCCCACCCGGCGGTGAGTCACCGGGCAGGACCGAGAAGGCTGGGACTCGCAGGGAGCAGCCGCACCCCCGGCTGGACTTGAGTTGCTTCCCAGATGCAGCCGAGAGTAGCCCCGCCCGCGACACGCCCCCGGGGGAGGAACAGCGGCGCAGGGTGGGGGGCCCGCGGGCGCGCAGTGGGCGACAGGGCAGTGTGCGTGCGCCCGCGACCCCTCCCGCGAGTACTCATGCCCGTTCGGACGTGCCAGGACTTTCTGTTCCAGGATGGAGGCCGGCCCTTTCGTGCCGCAGGGCCCCTAGAGGGACCAGACTTCCCGCAAACTTAGTTCCCCCCACCCCAGCACGTGTCCACGCACGCGACACCAGCCTCGGTACGCCCCGCTGCTGGGTGACTCAACGTTGCCACAGGATAAGGCCCAGCCCTGGCGCCTGGCGCTGGCGGCCCCCTCCATCCGGACCCCCTGCCACATGGCGGCTGGTGACGCGCTTTCCCCTTCCCCACCTCCGAGCCTCTGCACACGCTATTCCCTGCACCCGTGAGGATCTTACTCTCAGGATGAGCACGTACGTAGCTAAGCCGTTTCCATTCAAAGATATTGATTACACGTCCCAATTCTGGGCAGATACGAGGGGAAAGAGCAGCCTCCCTTCACGCGTTGACTCAAAGGCGGCTTCATGGGAGGCCTCGCACGGCCTGCCGGCCTGCCGGCAGGGAGCAGTGTCGTCCTGTGGCACCCCACCCAGGCCCTGGTCTCCCTGTGGGTGCAGCTCTGCTCCAGCGACCTTTCTCTTCTCCAATCTGAGAACCCTCCCAGAGCGGCGACAGGTCTTCTCTCTCTCCCCATCAGCGTCTCCCATCCTCCCCCCAGGGCCAAACCAGGTTCCATCTTTGTTTCCTTGTTGCTGACTGTACCTGAAAGAACGCCTCCCCTAATCTGCAAAATGGGCCAAGGCTGCTCCCTCTGGCCCGAAAAGAAGGTCCTCGAAGAGACATCTGGGTAGTGTGGGGGCACTTCCAGCATCTCCAGGGGCCCCTGCCTCCAGGAGTGAATGCCAGCGTGAGGACAGACCATCTCGGGTGTAGGCACAGCTTGAGGGAGACCCACTAGGCTGGGGTGACAGAGCCCTCACATATTTTCTGGTGTGAGTCCTTCCCCTGGTGACTCAGAGAGAAATCCCAATGGGCCCAGCAATCCCTCTTCCTCCTGTGCTCCCCAGGAGATTGCCTTAGGGATGGGTATGGGGCCCAGCTCTGGCCAGGGAGAAGGGAGGTCACATCTGAGGGCCTGGGAGCTTCTAGGAAATATTCTCCATCCTCAAAAAAAAGAAAGACAAAGGAAGAAACAGTCCCTCCTCTTCCACTGGACATTTTTGTGGCTGGAAATGATGCTTAGAACTGTGCCAGCCACGTGTAACCACAAGAGGAACAAGCCTAAGGAAAAGCCAACTTGCCGCTGAGGGCAGAGCAGAACTACAGAAAGAACCTGGGTCCCAAGTTACTTTATTCAGTCCCTAAATTAACCAGTCCTGCAGCCTGCCATGCTAGCGAGAGGACGCAGTTTCCCTCATTGTTTGAGCTGCTGTGAACTAGGTTTTGTAACAAGACCCTTGCAGTGTGCTTCTCTGTGATGGTTGTTCGTGGGGCTGCAGCCAGGTCCCTCTACTGATGAGTGTAGGCCCAGTGCAGAGTCCGTGCCCTGGCAACGTCTGCTACAGGAACACAGGCATGACTTCCTTTGGTTTTCCTACCAGATAACAATGAGTTGGCATGTTGTCAGATTCACCATGGATGCCATCTCTTTGGTGCAGCCGCTTCCACACCCCTGCTACCCCATGCCCCATGGAAATGCCTGTTTTCTCTGTGCCTCTCTTCTCCCCAACATTGTGAACTGTGGGGGTGGGGGCAGGGTCATGTTGGACTTGGTGTTGCTACATGTCTAAGACACAGTGGATGCAGCACCAGAGGAGCCCATGGGAACCTATAGGAGCCCAGGCCTCTCTCCATGAAGGCATGAAGCTAGTTGAACTGAGGAGGAGCAGACTGTGGCCACTCGTTGGGTCTCAGTCAAGGATCCAAAGATCAGTTCTTCCATGAGCAGTTCCCTCCAAATGATTCCTGATTCTCTGGACTCCACTTCCTCACCTAGCTAAACACAAGGTCACTAACATTACATTTCAGTTCCACTTGACTTCTCAGCTCTGATTCCTGTTGAATTACAAATTATATAAGGGACAAGGAGCAGAGCTTTCTATTTTCCACTTTCAACTCTCTTCTCTCTCTCTCTCTCTCGGTTGTTATTTGTCTCATTTCTAGTTTCTACTTTTTGAAAGCATTTACATTCCATTCCTCTACCCTGAGCCACACCTTTGTTTTGTCTTAGATCTAAAACTGAAAACATTACAAGCTCTCTGCCATTCCTGTTGCTAAAATATTTTTTGCTATCTGTTAGTTGGCTGGAGTTAGTCTTCTAGAAGATTCCTCATGGCACCTGGGTGACCCAGTCAGTTAAGACTCTGACCATGGTTCGGGTCATGATTTCATGGCTCATGAGTTCGAGTTCAGTGTTGAGCTCTGTGCTGACAGCTCAGAGCCTGGTGCCTGCTTCTGATTCTGTGTTTCCCTCTCTCTCTGCCCCTCCCCTGCTTATACTCTACCTCTCTCTCAGTAAAAAATAAACATTACAAAAAAAAAAAATAGAAGGCTCCTCAAGAATAAAATATTTATAGATGGACTAGGAAGACTTCTGGGATCTGAGCTCATAATTGTTATAGCCAGGCCCTTGGGTTATTGCAATGTGTCCATGAAGACTCATTGTGTTCTATTTTTGTGTTTGTCATTTGCCATTAAATTTTTTTTAATGTTTATTTTTGAGAGGGGGGAGGGGTAGAGAGAAAGGGAGACACAGAATCTGAAGCAGGCTTCAGGCTCTGAGCTGTCAGCACAGAGTCCAAGGAGGGACTTGAACTCAGGAACCATGAGATCATGACTTGAGCCAAAGTCAGACACTCAACCAACTGAGCCATCCAGGCGCCCTGGCATTTTCTATTTTAAAAATGTTAAAAGTTAAAATAAAAACTTGATTATTATTATTTAAATAATTTTAATTTTTTTTCAATTTAAAATTGACTAAATTTAAATTTAGCTAAATATGCTAATGTTAATTCCCCGCTTCTGATCATTGTATTGTGGTTGTGTGAGATGTGAACCTCCATTAGGGAAGTCTGGCCGAGGAACATAGGAAAACTGGATTACTTTTATTAAAAAATTTTTTCATGGGCGCCTGGGTGGCTTAGTCGGTTAAGCGTCCGACTTTCGCTTAGGTCATGATCTCACGGTTCGTGGGTTCGAGCCCCGCATCGGGCTCTGTGCTGACTGCCAGCTCAGAGCCTGGAGCCTGTTTCAGTCTGTGACTCCCTCTCTCTCTGACCCTCCCCTGCTCACGCTGTCTCTCTCTCTCTCTCTCCTCTCTCTCTCTCTCTCTCTCCTAGAAATAAATAAAACATTGGTTGCCCACATTGGTTCTGGTGGTATCACCTCATCCTGGATTTGCACGGTTTCCCAGTCTCCTAGCTTCTCTGAAGAGAAATTTGATGTGTGTGTGTCGGTGGTGGGCTGCCTTCCTCCTCCTCCTCCTCCTCCTCCTCCTCCTCCTCCTCCGTATGGTTTCAAGAAGGAGAAATGGGACTATTTAGAGTTAAGCTGCTGCCCTGTTACCTCCAGACCCGGCAGTCGGGCAGGCTCAGCTGCTATTCTGTTTACAGAGAACCTGCTCTCTGCCTGCTCCTCCCTGCCCTCACCCTGGGAACCTGCCCTCCTGAACTGCATCACCAGGCTCCCTCACCCTTGGCCCCAGTTGGGTTCAGCCGATGGGGGACACATGGCTAGGTCACAGAGGGAGAGGAGAGGCGTTTGTTCCCCGTGCACCCTCCTTTCTTGACGTGGTTTGGCAGTGGCCGTGTTCCTCTGCTGCTGCTCCCGTCGGATGACCTTCTCCTAAAGCCACAGCTCTCCTCGGCGTCTGTATGGGCCTTACTCCTTACCCTTACCCCTCTAGGCCAGGGCGGTAACAGCTGTCACTATGACTGGTCCCTGGGCACCTTGCCATCCTTTACCCTCTCTTAAGTCTGCCCACAGCTTTGTGAACAGTCCCTTCCTTAGGTACCCCTTTGATGTGCCCTCTGATTTCCAACAGAACCCTGACTGACACCCATGGATGTGTGATGTTGACATGCCGAGGGGTCACACGACGTCTGCGGGAGTCTGGATTTGGTTCCCTGTGGCTGGGAGGGGTCCGCACGCGCAGGGTGCGTGGGCTCAGTATATACCATGAGCTCAAATCCCTGAAGCAGAAGGAGGAGAAAGCGTAAGGAGGAGAGGCAACTGTACCACTTGACCTTCGTGACTTCCAGAGTTCAGATCACACTCGAAGTCATCATGCTTTAGACATAAGACAGCCCTGAGTATTTGACTCCTTCAACTTTTTTTATTTTTATTTTTCTGAACTGGTAATTGCCAAGTTGGCAAATTGTTATTTGAAAAGTTGGCTCTTCGTGACTTGATGATGCAGCCGCTTGATCCTTTGCCAAACTGGGCTGTTGAACAGATCCACTTGGAAGATTCGTTGGCTCCTCTGAAGGCCTGACTGTCCTGCCCCAGGGGCTGGACTTGACCTTCTGACTCACGGCAGGTGCCTGTGTTCAAGGGCTGCTCTACGGGGGCCCAGTGTAAGCCAGGCCTCTTCCAAGACAGGATGTTTCCCCCCTGAGTCATCTTCAACCTCATCCAGGCAGTAATGCACCCTGCCGGAGTCTCTGGAGCCCAGCCCCCTCGCTTCTGGATTCATCCCTGGTTAGGAGGGTCTTGGGCTGTCTCCGGGTTTTTTTGTTGGCTGGAAAGGAGACTACCCTCAGGGATCCACAGGCTGGGTTGAGAGAACAGGAAGCTGGTCACAGCTGGAGCTGGAAGGCCACAGGGGATGGACCTGGGCCATAGCACCAAGGTCAGGGGCCCCATTCTGGTCGTGGTCAACTTGGCCTCTCCAGGCCCCTTGCTTTTCTCCTGCTGGGCATTTGGAGTCTTTGTCTGGACCCAGCCTTGCTCGGAGATCTGGGACCACAATGTGTTGTCACTGGAGCCAGGGTGCTCCTCCCAGGGTGGTACATTACAGAGGAGCAGGGGCTCACGGGCAGGGAGGGTGATGCGGTAAGGGCCACAGTAGTCCGACAGAGGAAGAAAAGCATATCCAGAGGCTATACTGGGCAGGGCTCTGGACTAGCCCTGGGACTGGAGCCCTGCCGAGGGGCCGGGCCCTAGCAAGGACCTACTGAGGGGCTAGTGAGCTCCACAGGAGAGGGAGAAGAGTATCGCAGGATGGGGACTGGTGCGGAGGGGTCTCTGCGGTCTGGAAGCTGTCCCAGAAATGCTGGGTGACACCACCATCCTGTCAGGGGAACAAGCATGGCGAGTGACCCTGTGGGGCTGGGGGACACACACTGCCTCAGAGGAAACAGGGAAAGAGCTTTGCTGGGTCTAGGGAAATCCCTGTGGGTCTCTCAGCTCAACTCCCACCGTGTCCTGGAAGTCGGCCCTCCCCCACCTTTGGCAGCACTGCCCTGAGCAGAAGACTCTGGAATTAGCCTGTGCGGAGGGGAGAACGGAGTCTTCTGGACCTGCTTAAGCCCCAGAGGCCCTCATTTCACAGCCCGTTCTGAGTCCACAGGGTCACACACCGCCATCTGTAAGAGTGGCAAGAGTTGTCTTACTGTGTTCTTTCTCTCAAATACAGTTTAATGCCTGACCGCTCCTGCCAGTGGAGGATGGCGTGTGCGGTGCTGTGGCCCTGTGACCCAGAGTTTCTGCTGCCACAGCACCCACTGCCCACCCCCACCCCCAGCCATGGGGGCCAGCCACAGCTTGGGGCCTCCTAACACCAATCAGGAATGTGGGAGGGCCTCAGCCCTGTAGGACCCAGGCTGTGAGGGCCCAGAGTCGGGTAAACACTAATTAGGGTTACCACACCCTCCTGGGCATCTCTATGGGCTCAGGGAATAGGCATGGTGGGAGGCAAGCTCAGACTCCTGCCCCTGGCCTGGATGGCATGAGCAGGGACTTGGGAGGCCTTCTTCCATGACTCCTGGCCACTGGGGTCATAGTCCCTGGCCCTCTGCCCCCACTACTGGTCGGTCAGGGCTCACTCCCGAACAGCCCCTCTCTAGCACAATCAGTGACAAGGGGAGGGAACAGAAGTTTACTGAGACCTTGCACACATGATCCCACTGACTATCAGTGACGTGGCCAGGAAGGCATGGCTGTCCCCATTTTATAGATGAGGAAACTGAGGCTCAAGTTTGGGCTGATGACTAAGGGGAGCAGCATGTGGCATGTGGCTTGAGGCATCACTCTTCATCCTGAATAACTAGGGAGGCAGCCTGGTCCCTTAAGCATGTGATGCATCAGGGGCCAGTAGAGTGGCCTTCTGGGAATTCTGGCCAGGGCCGGATGTACCTCCCTTAGTGTTGGTGGGGTCCTCCATCTATTTCTCTAGGACCTCCTGGGGGACACTGCCTGCCTCACTGAGCCTCTTGGAGAAGCCAGCCCCCGAGGTGCAGGGGTGCTAGGCTCTCTCCTGTGCCGTCTGCCCCTGAGTGGGGCTGTGCATGGACTCAGGCGCTCCTGTGAGTGAGAGGCAGCTGACTGCAAGCCAGGGATGACTGGGGTTCCAGTTAATGCTAGGTCCTTCTCAGCCTTGGGCAAGGTACCACCATGAGCACCTCCCCCCTCAAATTTCCAATGAAAGCTGCAGAGACACTGCAGAGCTGAGGTCCTTGGGAATGGGGAGGTCAGTGGCACCCACTCCACTCGTGTTTCTGGCCCGAGGGACCATCTGGGTCCTCAGGCCCACAGACCCCCAAGCCCCTGACCGGGACAGCCTAGAAATCCTGGGCCTTGTCTGGATTCACAGCAGCGCCCAGGCTCTGGGGAGCTCGAAGTCCAGGGGGCCTGGCAGGGCAGCTGCCCCCCAGAGCCTGTCATCTCCCAGGGCACTCAGGCCTCCTGGGTTGGGGAGAGACACGTCCCAGAACTGACTTCTCTGTCCAGCCCCAGCCCTGCTCCTGTCCCTGCCCCTCAGAGGGTCCCAGAGTACGGGTGTCAGGGTCTCATACTGCCAGAGGGGCAGGGCTGCAGTCAGAGCACTGGGGCAGCCCCACCCAGCTTCGTCTTCGTGCCGTCGCCAGCGCTGACTCACCGCCTGACCTCCTACTTGGCTGGGGCGGGGGCTCCTGCCTCGGAGCCCAGCGAGGCAGCAGAGGCATCTATAAAAGCACGCCGGTCCAGGCCACAGTGTCCTGCTTGGTTACCACCTGTCACCTACCGCACGATGCTGGGAGGCCTGGGGAAGCTTGCTGCTGAGGGCCTGGCCCACCGCACCGAGAAGGCCACCGAGGGAGCTGGTAAGGACCTGAGGCTCCTTTCCACTTGGGCCCTTCTCCTTAAGCTGGGGGTGGGGACAGACTTGATGGGGCCTGTTGGAAGCTGATCCCAGCAGATTGGGGTGGGCCTTGGCCCCTTGAGGAAACCTGGCCCATCAGCCGCACAAGGACAGAAAGGAAGTGAGGGGTGTGGAAGCCGAGGAGAGCAGCTTGGGTGGAGTCATGAGGGGTCCATCCACTGCCCCAAACAGGCCTCCCTTGGTTGGACCCATTTCTGGGGTCTGTGAGGCAGGAGGGACAAACTCAGAGGAGGTCCCTAGGGGCAAAAGGGGAGCCCAGATACTGGTGAGCCTCGGGTGGCTAGAATCCTCCCTTCTGGAAACCTGGGAGCCCTTCTGTATCAAAGCTGCCTGTTTTGAATATCCTATACAGGAAAAAGAAAATGGGTTTTTATTTTTAGCATCACTTTAAAGTTTCAAAGATTTCTTCACTAAGAAACCACCAAGTCTGATTCTATTCAAAGTCAGCTCCCTGGGTTTGTACAAAGGACATTTTCAATTTCTTCAAAGTCCCCGGAAACCCTTTATTAAATGAAGATTGTATTTTATTTATTTATTTTAAAATTTGAAATGTTTATTTATTTTGAGAGAAAGAGTGGGTGCAGGGGAGGGGCAGAGAGAGAGAGAGGGAGAGAGAGAATCCCAAGCAGGCTCTGCACTGCCAGCACAGAGCCCGACATAGGGCTTGAACTTATGAGCCTGAGCCAAAATCAAGAGTCGAATGCTTAACCGACTGAGCCACCCAGTCGCCTCTAAAGACTTTATTTTTTTAAATTAAAAAAAATTTTTTTTAATGTTTTATTTATTTCTGAGAGAGAAACAGCATGAGCAGGGGAGGGTCAGAGAGAGAGGGAGATACAGAATGTGAAACAGGCTCCAGGCTCTGAGCTAGCCGTCAGAACAGAGCCCGACACAGGGCTCAAACTCATAAAACGTGGGATTGTGACCTGAGCCGAAGTCAGATGCTCAACCGACTGAGCCACCCAGGCGCCCCAAGACTTTATTTTTAAGTACTCTCTACACCCAGTGTGGGGCTCGAACTCATGACCGTGAGATCAAGAGTCACATGGTTTTCCGACTGAGCCAGCCAGGCGCCCTCAAGCCCTTTCTGGAATGCAGACACCAGCTACTCTGTGCGGGAGACTAGTCCTGGCAGACATTTTATGAAAACCAGCCAGTGTCCGAGTTGGCTGTCGTCCTTCTACATGGCCGCAAACACGTTTGTATTTTGTAGGTTAGCTCTGCAGCTGGGGCGGACCGCTCTCTTGTGTCTCTCGCTGGCCCTGAGTTCGGTATCAGCCCCATTCCATAGCTAAGGGAACCAAGCTGTGCAGCATGGAGGTGCAATCAGAACCAGGTCTTCTGACTCCCAAATCTTCCAGTTCCAGCAACTGCTATGCAAACTTTAGCCAACTCCGAGGTGGTTGCAGAGATCCCTCGTGTTGGAGGAATTGTTCTGGGGGAGGGGACTTTAAGATCTGGCATCCCCAGTGCAGTTCACCTGAGGTGCGGTGACCTGGGAGACAGGCCCCACCTTGGCCTCGGGTCCCCTGCTGGCATGAGGGCCTGCTCGTCTGCATTCCAGGCCTTGCCAGGCCACGGAGCATGGAGGGCCCTGTGCTCTTGTCTGACTGCCTTGGCTTGTGTCTTGGTAGCCGGGCCCACTGGAGTCTCTGAATTAAGCCAGATGGGGGTGCCTTCTCGTGAGCTGCCTCGTCCCTCCTGGGGCGGCATCCGGGACATCCAAATGTCCTTGGCTCCACCTTGAGGAGAAGCTGGCTTGCACCGCGCTCACCGGGCTTCTCATCTTTTTAGTTCATGCTGTCGAGGAGGTGGTGAAGGAGGTGGTGGAACACGCCAAGGAGGCTGGAGAGAAAGGTACGGCTGAGGCTGGGGCCTGGGAAGGACGGAAGTTAGAGGCTGGGAGCAGCCCGTTCTTCTTTGTCTAACCGGGTCAAACCCTGACCTTGATGTTGCATCCTTTCAGTTGGTATACAATTATCTACGCTCACCAGCGGCCACAGACCGCACTTTGCTAAAGCAAGATCCATCCAGACAGTCCTTTCTGTGGGATGTGAAGGAGATGGGGTCACAAAAGACTCTGTGGCAGCAGGCTCCGACGAAACACTTCAGACAGGAAATTGTCTACGTATTTAAATATAAATTTGCATAAATGTTTATGTGTGCATGCTGTAGTGTAACTAAATACTTCATTCCTTACAACATGGTAGGTTCCAGATGGATCCGGGCCTTAAGCATTAGATATATGAAATGGTTAAATTGTCAGGAGGGAAGGTGGTAGATTGGGAAAATCTGGGAGAGGAGAGGATCTTTTTAACTATGACAAAAAGCCTGATAGCCATAAAGGAAATATTAGGTAGATCTGGCAATATAAAACTTCCAAATTTTCCATAATAAAAAAATGTGATTAGCCAAGCCAGAAGACAGACCACAAAGGGAGGAAAAACATTTGTAAATAGAAATGATGGACCAATATAAAAATGACAGAAGGGAGAAGCAGGCAGCTGACAGAGAGGTACAAGTAGGCAGTATGCCCTTGGGAGGTACAAATGCTGCCTCACTCAGAACCGGAGAAACGCGAGTTGTGGAGGGAAACAAAACCACATTTGAATGCATTCCTCCAGGAGCCCCGCTCTGTCCCATCGGGGCAGAATCCAGCAGAACTAGGGCACAGTCCAGTAAGACCGCCGCGTCCCCACAGGCCACTCCAGCTGACCCTGGCCCCACCAGCTGGAAACGTTTACTTTGCTCACCGGACGTTTTATTCCTCTTTCTTCCTGACAGCCATTGCTGAAGCCTTAAAGAAGGCCCAAGAGGCAGGGGACAAAGCGGTGAAGGATGTCACTGAGACGGTGACCAACACAGTCACGAACGCCGTCACCCATGCAGCGGAAGGCCTGGGCAAGCTGGGACAGTGAGCACGCCTGCCTCCAGGGGACTCTTCCTGAATCTCAATAAAAAGCTGTGAAATGTGTACACTGAACCCTGGGTTTATTCCTGTTTGGACGACAACACTGTGTATGTCCCGAGTTGTCTGCAGGGGCAGGGGGCTAGCATATGCACCTTCTGCGGGGGGAGGCAGTAGGTCCCCATGACTGATCAGCTGTGCTGCTGTCATACTGGGATTTCCCACATCAGCAGGGAGCTCTTGAAGAATTGTTAGGGTCTGTGCTACAGTTTTTAAAGGACTGTTTCCCCAGACACTATATTTAGCTTCCAGACACCCGGCGTTTCCAGGATATCCCAAGGGAGGAACAGAATCCAGCTCACACGTTCTTTGGGTTTTCCTTGCAATGTTCTTACAGGACACAGGGAAGACAATAGACTAACCTGACTGAGAGTTTAGCTGGGCAGGCTCAGACATTTTGAGATGCTTCACGTTCTGAAAGAGACACTGGAGACGTATTTCTGCTGGACAGACGGTCACTGAATCAGGTCAAGTAGTAACTGAGTCCTCCGTTTATTGGCTGGTGAAGCCACTGTTTGGATCGCTCCCCGGAGACTTGTCAGTCCTGATTGGTGGCGGGGACCAGGAACGCTGACCTGGCCTTCTTCCCGCCGTGAGTGGTCAGCACCATATAGGTTAAATGTGTGTAAGCAGCATTTAGCTTCACATTTGCGATTTAAATAAGGAAATGATTTGTAAAGAAAAGGCATCGCTTATTTGTCTTGCTGGAAGTTAACTTGTTCTTAGCAGAAATAAGAAAAGGTGTTTTAAGGAGTACATCACTTGCTCGCCACATTTCTGGCTTTCTTTGAGAATTGGCTTTACAAGTCTCTGAACAGCCCAGGAGTATCCGATGTCCTGCCACTGGTCAGCTAGATTGGATTTTATATCTTGGTTTGGTTCCTGAAGACTTTTTATTTTTTTTACGTTTTTTTTATTTATTTCTAGGAGAGAGAGAGAGACAGCGTGAGCAGGGGAGGGTCAGAGAGAGAGGGAGTCACAGACTGAAACAGGCTCCAGGCTCTGAGCTGGCAGTCAGCACAGAGCCCGACGCGGGGCTCGAACCCACGAACCGCGAGATCATGACCTGAGCGAAAGTCGGACGCTTAACCGACTAAGCCACCCAGGCGCCCCTCCTGAAGACTTTTTAATTCCTCCAGGCTAAACCCCAGCTCCACACAATGAAAGCACTGTGGGAGGCAGAGTAAGCTGGCACTGCCTTTGGACTTTTGCTTTTGGTCTCTTACCAGACCTTAGTGTTCAGGAGTGCACAGGTGCATAGACGCCTAGAGGGGGAACACACAGGTTCCCCTGTATGTAATAGTTAGAGTTGGAAAGAGCCTAGCATGCTGGTTAGAAATCACTTGGATGGCTGGGGTGCCTGGGTGGCTCAGTCGGTTAAGCATCCAACTTTGGCTTCAGGTCGTGATCTCTCTCAGTCTGTGAGTTCGAGCCTGTTGTCGGGCTCTGTGCTGACTGCTCACAGCCTGGATACTGCTTCAGATTCTGTGTCTCCCTCTCTTTCTCTGCCCCTTCCCAACTCATACTCTGTCTCTCTCTAAAATAAACATTAAAAAATTTTTTAAGAAATCACTTGGTGGCAAGTTTTGCCCTGCTTATTAGGTGTGATGCATAATATAGAGTTGACCTCTTACTTCTAGTTTACTGTAATGCCTTAGCTTGAAGAATGGTACCTTGGCCTACATGGCCACCGATAGGGCCTGGTTAACAATTATTGCATGTATATATGAAATGAAATACCCTATGACGGTCAAGAGTGAGGAAAATGTACATATACCATATGGGAACATCTCCAAATAAGTTATAAGTTGTAAAATATGTGTGTAGAAAGAGTTTGTTTCTGTAAAGCAAACACATACTTGGGTAAGAATGGGAAAAAAAACTGGTAGCATATAGATAGCAAACAGATTAACAGTGCTCATCTCTGTGTCCTTGGGGATATGAGGAATCTGAGTTTTCTGCATGATATGGTTCCGTGATGCTTGAATTTAAGAGAAAAATCAACAGAGATAGACTTTTAAATGTTGTCGAGGAGGGCTCATACTAGCTTGTTCAAGATCGTTTGCAGGTTAAGTGCTACTCAAAGTTTACTGGTTTGCAAACCTTGTTATTACCACATGGTGACAAAAGTGAAAAAACAGAACATTTAGAAACTTTCATCACAATGTGACATTGCCTGGACCTCCCGGAGTGTGATTGGCAGACAGTTCTTGTTGAACAGGGTAGAGACTGGCTCCAGTTGTTGAACTTGCAAGGCAAGTTGTATGTGAACTAGTCACATAAAGGAGGACCACATACTATGATGAATCAGATAAGCAAACAAATTTGTCCTTCACTATGGAGTTGGAGAAGCACGGCCCATGTCTCCTTAACTTCACCTTGCTGCGTGCTGTTCTAGAATAAGTACTTCCATCTTTCACTTTCTCTTTACTGTGTGTATTGTGCAACGGGACAATGACATCAGCCTCAGACAAACTCTAAATGTGCTATAAAAAGCAATGGACAGTGATGTCCGAGACACTGGTGGAGCGAGGACCTTCAAAAATTCCCTCCTCTGTAAAAGTAATGAGCAAACTGGCAAAAATATAGTCAGAACCAACTTTTTCAAAATTCTTAACTGAAGGCTTACAGCAATCCAGGGGTCTTTTATGTAAAACACATTAAATAAACAAAATCTTGTTACAAAAGGCAAGCTTTGTGATGTTTTCAGCGTACTCTATTCTGTGCCACCCTTGCCCCGCCCCCACCTTTTCCAGCTCCCCTGCAGCCTTGAAAACTGCCGACAGCCTGGCAGTTACTGGAAAGAGCTGAACAGAGTGGGAGTTCCTTCAAAGCCTCACTCCCAGAGAACTCTGATTATTTCACTTGACTGGAGGTTCCTAGGAAGACCCCCATTGCAAGGCTGCCTTTATTTGTCCAGACCAGGAGCTCACTTAATGTAAACAGACTTTTCCCTCGGGCTGTTTGTCATAAGACAGTTTGAGGCAATTTTTTAAGTTGGTGGCTGTGAGGTGATAGATATCAGTTTGGGAAAACTATAGGCTAACCAAAGAGCTTAAAAGGAAAAACTAGGGAAAGAAATGTCCACAGGGACTTTGAAAACTCAAATCTAGAATCTAAAGTCCATGCACATGTGTAGGGCTGTGCGTGCGCTCAGTAAAGACTGGAGAAGGCTTGAAGCTCTCACTCTAAACAATCTGGAGGCTCTGTGCAAGCAGGCAGTGAAACCAAGGCAGGGATTTACAAACTGCCTAGCTGAGTGTTCGAGGGGAGGCCCAACCTGCGTGGAGTTCCCTGGCGAAGACGGCAGACTTATTGGTTCTAGCTACTTAAAGAAATCTGTGTCCGATCATTAGCTAACCACTAAGCGGAGTAGAAACTTCAACGGCAAACACAACAAAGACGACAGACTGTAGAATTAGTTCAGGAAAGTCACTTCACAAACGGTCAACAACCAAAAGCAACAAGCAATCTCAGGGGAAGGGGGTGGAATCTGATTTCAGAGTTGCCACCCTGTATTATTTAACATGTCTAGTTTTCAGGAAAAAAAAAAAGATATGCAATGAAAGACACTACGACCCATTTAAAGGGGGAAAAATGGAAACGTGCCTGAGTAAGCTCAAATATTGGACTTACCAAAGACTTTTAAAAGTTTATTTATTTATATAATTTTAAAAAAACAAGTTTATTTATTTTGAGAGAATGAGACCAGAGGAGGAGCAGAGACAGAGGGAGAGACAGAGAACCCCAAGCAGGCTCTGCACAGTCAGTGTAGAGCCCAGTGTGGGGCTCAAACCCACAAATGGTGATATCATGACTTGAGTTGAAATCAAGAGTCAGACACTTAATTGACTGAGGCAACCAGGCACCCCATTACCAAAGACTTTAAATCAACTATTCTAAACAAGTTCAAAGAGCTAAAGGGAACCACATTTACAGAATTAAAGTGTACGAGCAATACCAAATAGACAATACAAATAAAGGGATAGAAATTATCGAAAATAAGAGATTCTAGAGTTGAAAGTACAACTGAAAGAAAACATTCATTCGAGGGCCCAACAGCAGATGTGAGCAGGCATAGGATAGAATCCATGAACTTGAAGATACACTGAATGAGGTTATCTAACCTAAGGAACAGAAAGCAAAACAATTGAAAACAAAAAATAAAAAAAGAGACTTAGAGACGTGGGTCATTGTCAAGAGTGCTCCCTTATGTACGATGGGAGTACCAGAGAGAGGACAGAAAGGCAGAAAGAGTATTTGAAGAGATAATGGTTGAAAACAAATTTGATGACAATTTAACTAACCTAGACTTCCAAGAAGTTCAATGAACTCAAAGTAGGAAGACTCAAATAGATGCACACCTACACATACCCTAATCAGACTGTTCAAATCCAGAGACAGACTCTTGAAACAAAACTAAGTCATCATATGAAAGGGAGGTTCAATGAGATAAACAGGTGACTTCTCATCAAAAAACCAGAAGCCAGAGGCAACAGGCTATCCCATTCGAGGTGCTGAGTGATGTCAACCAGGAGTTCTAATATCCAGGCAACCACAGCCTTTCCACCTCATGTTGGCACAGCCTCCTTAACCCACAGGACCACCACTCCAGGATGCCGACCCTGCCGTCTCCAGGGGAGACCTGGCGGACCCAGGCCTCCATCTGTCCCACCAGCTTCAAAAGGCCCAGACAGCCCCAGGTTCCTGCAGCTCCCTGAGCACAGTGGTCTGTGCCAGTACTTGGTACTACAGGCTTCCCAGGGGAGGGTGTGCTTAGAGCAGGACGCGCTGCCATTCTGCTCCGCAGGAGACTTGCTGGGAACAGGTGTCCAAGGAAACTGGCCAAGTTGCAGCTAGACTCCCTGGGTGCTTCCTGAGGTTCAACTTTAAGTGGTTTTTTGGTAGTCTCTCACTTATTTTTAATTTAGGTGAATTTTACATAATATACAATTAACTGTTTTAAAAGTGTATAGTCCAGTGGCAGCA